AGAGAGAACTATTCAAACATGGAAGCTTGCAGCTCGTAGCTCGTCCCTCGCTACATGCGGGCTGTGGCTCATAGCTGCCTGTTGGTTGCAGTACCTCTCTGCGTGGTGCTGCCTGGGCAGCAGTACTCTGTGTTTAAGAGTAGGCAGCTGTGAGCGATAATCAGTGAGCTAAAAAAATATAATGCTTCATTAATTATTTGGTAACATCACGGATTCAGTAAGGACGATGTGATGAAAACTAAAGACAAATGTAAACTGCAGAATGACTTGAGCACCAAATCAAGTTAACACATCCTTCTCTACATGCAGCACAACCAGGCTTTATAGGATACCTAAGTACCTGATAAGTCAAATGTAACTATATTCAGTTATGTTGGTTTTTCAATCACACAACTAAACATTTTTAGTACTTAGTTTGTAGTTTTTATAATAGAAATTGAAAAATTATTAGCAATGAAAGGATCTGAGGGAACAAAACCATTAATGAAACTAGATGTGGATCAATAATGCTGCCACAGCCCCATCTACTGGTCAACCTTAGTCTTTGTGCATTCATGCATTTATCGTCCATTCATCGTCATCAAGCTGAACTCCTCAATATACAGTAATATTGATTTTAGGCCACATCGCCCAGCCCTACTATACTGTACTTTGCTGGTAAATACCACATAAATATTTCATGTAGTTGTAAATCAGTTTCCTATGTACACAGGTGCAGTGCGGAGAAACCTGCTGGTTGGTGGGGCTGCTGAAGCACAGGTGGAGGGAATAATAAAAAGGTGGCTCCAGCTTGCAGCAGATCATGAGGGAGGGAGAAAAAGATGGTTTCTTGCAAAAGAAAGTTCTTTGTAAGCTCGCTCTGTATATGTTTTGAGTATTATGCAGTTAATTTTTGGTTCTATATTTTTAACTAAGGTTAGTGTTTTCATGTGTTGAGTTCAGTGAATTTTACTTGCTTGTAATGCGTTTTGTTGTCTTAGTTTTACAGTGTGTGGGCCAATGCTGGCCTGGGGACACTCAGCCAGCTCAACTTTCAGTATATGGGCCAATAATGGGCCTGGGGTTATGCCAGTGCTCAGCCAACATTCACCTGTTCTGGCTCACTGAGAGTGGGCCAGACCTGGGCCAAAGTACACAATGAGAGTCATCATACAGTGCATGGGCCAGACCTGGGCCAAAGCCATATTGTGTCATTTTTCTGTAAGTGTGCCATTATTGGGCCGAGGGCCCAGCCAACAGTGGGCCAGTATTTATGCAAGGATGTGGGCCAGAGGTGGGCCGGACAGATTTTGCTATGTGGGGACTGTTGTGTGATTATTTCACTATTCTCACATATTGCTCCTTTTAGTACCGACACTATCGGTAAAAACAAATATAAATATATTTAGTATGTTATGTAGCGACATGAATGGCCTCATTTGTGACCCAAAGGTCACACTTCCTCAGCTGGGTCAAGCTGTCCTGGCTGTACTTCTATCTACAGATTATCCATCACAGGAGATGCGAAGTCTGCTGTAAACCATCTTTTATCTGACTGCTGTTCCATCCGCAAGACAAAGGACACTTCAAGATTTAAAAGAATCATTTTTAATAAACTCTTTTCACTGTCTATTAAAATGTTCATAAATAATCATCAAGGTTCATTATAAATGTATTTAATTACTGAAATGAATTATTATTCTTTGGTTAATAATTATTATTATTTATGATAATCAGTAATGTTTAACAGTGACAAGAAGATCATCTGCACTTATACACACCATGCAGGACACAGTAATCAGGTTAAGGTTAACTGCTCTCACATGTCTTTGTTCCATAACACCAGAGCTTTCTATCTCTGAGAGGGCATGTTCTGAGGTATGTTAAGTCCCACCCTCTAACATGTCAAAATCTAATTCGTTAGAATAAGATTACCGGACATCTCTTAAAACCTAACTCCTCAGTTCAAGTTCAGTTCTTGAGCTCACCAAATTCTCTCCATGGCAACGAGAGTCCAGAGGATCGAGTTGGCCGTTCGAAACCTCTACTAAAGCATTTCTGTCACGCCGATAGAATTGCTTCAACAGAAACTCCATCTGCAGCACAAAGCTGACGCTACGAGATTCCTTAAGAATCTGCTCAGACGCAAAACCATCCACCTGTGTGCCTGCGGCAAGTCTAGGACCAGAGAGTCGGTACCACTGGTCTCCCCTACCGGACCGAGTACCCAGAGGCTGATCAACATTCTCCCTTGACCTCCGGATCTGAACAGAGGGTCATCTGAACGGTTAGGTAGAACACAAGATTGTGTCTGAAATGCCTTTTATTAAGAAATAATTTAGCTTAGCTGCAAACCAAATTCTTTCACCCAGAACACGTTTTTCTCTCTCTGAAATAAAAACCTTATGAGACCTACATTCACACATTCAAACCGTACTGTATGTACAGTCTATGATTCAAACACACACACTTCATGTTTAGTTTCATCCAGACACAGATTGCTTTAATACCAAGTTTTAATACCAAAGCTTTTAAAAATTGTCATTTATGAATTGTCTTTTAAATTGCCATCCTTAAATTGTTTGTAATAAATTGTTAACTTTTTTTAAACCTGACTCTTCTTTGAATAAAACAGAGTGGTGTATATTTGGTCATTGAACAAGAAAAGATCTCTTTAGATTTTCTGAATTAATAAATAAACTTTTGCTATTAATTTAAATCTCTTAAATTAAATATTAACCTTTCTATTAAATATAGACCAAGCCAGTTGGTGTATGAACTTCTATCGATTATATAAATATCCATGGAGATATGTATGTGTGTGTGTATATATATATATATATATATATATATATATATACCGTAAATCCTCTAATACAGGCCCGGGCCTGTATTTGACTCAAGCTCACCAAGCTCCAGGCCTTTATTGAAAGGAGGACCAGTATTAGAGGCCGGCCTCAATTTCTATTTGAGCAAAATGAACTAATGGTTCACTGGAGTTTTTGACAATTAAAATTGCGCCCGCATTTTCAAAGTTAAACACATTTCTTTTAACGGTAGTTTCTGCTTCAGCCCTCTCCCCCCTCCCCCAGCGCAGCGGCCACAAACTCACTGATGCGCCTGCAGCCTCTCAGAGTTCCTGCTGCTCTAAACATTAACATAATTATTTCATTTTCTGTTCCTCACTTCTGATTACCTTCAATGGTGTCTGTTTGTTGCAACCACCAGGTACAAAAACTAACTTGTTTTTATTTGACTATTTTTCTGTCCTGTCTGTTTATTATCTTCCTGCATCTCCTCTCAATCCTAAAGAAAAACTGCTACCTGGGTTCATATATATTCACCTTATGAGTTACCTTTGAACTGCAGTTCTAAAAGATCTACCGACCGCAAAAACAGCGGAGTGCTCGCCGGCCACATCATTGATCGGTGCGTCACCGAGGACAAAACAGGTGATGCACCCCGATCCACAGCAGCGAAAAGCATCAGGCACAAATAAAAGAATAAAAGACAGAAAACGTAAAAGGAAATGAGCCGACATGAACGATCGCGTGTTAAATTAGTTTTTGAGGTGGCGACACCTGATTTGATAATGTTACTGTGGCCGTGCTCAGGACGCAGATGTCTGGAGCGCGTCAACAATCAGAGCTTTGCATGTGCAAGCTGGTTAAGGTTAGGATGGGGGTGAGGGGAAGGTTAAATTGCAAGAGGGTAAAGGTAACAAATTGGTTAAATGTCCATTTTACGGCGGGGGTCAGTACCGACGCTCTGGCACAGCGCATTACCTCCCGACGCGTAGGGGCTTGTCACCTGCTGACAGCAGGCTGCTGTCTTTTCCGAGGACTGTATCTTGCCGGTCATTATCACGTGACAGTGACTAGTCGATGACAGGCATAAAAAGTCACTATAGAGCGGTGAAGTCGACTAGTGACTAGTTAATACAACCCCTACTGCTCCCCAGAGTGTTCTGCAGCATAATTAGCACGTTCTCTTTGAGCTTGATATCAAATTTTCGCCTCCTCTTCGTCTCTGCACGGTTAAAGTTACCCTCGCGGTCTATCACTGGCAAATCAAAAGTGAGACGGATGACACAACCGCCCCCCGTACTTGCTTGTTACCACATTCCACCCGGCCACAATAAAAAACGGCCATTATTCACCTCCGCCGACTCAGACACCGGCCAAAATATGATACCCGGCAGTTAATTAAATACAGGCTAATATTAGAGGATTTACGGTATATATATATATATGATATAGGTTTCATTGCCATTTGTTTGATCTTTCTCAGGGTTTAACAAAGCTGAAATAGCACCAGCTTAAATTCTAGTTACGTAGATTAACAACACTACAGTTAATCATCAATAACGTCCTTGATCATTTCTCAAAAAATGAACGTTTTATTAATTATGAAAAAATTACATTCTTTTATGACTGTTTTTGACCCAAATAAATAATTTTACAAAGGTAAAGATAAGAACTATATCAGTAACTTCACTGTAATATAACATATTTTTATTTAAAGATTTATAAACATTTAGATGCCTTGAAAGAAGAAAAATTAAATATATTTGATGAAACTATTTTAACAACATAATTTTGTAATAAAAATTTTACTCTTTCACTTACGTGATAGACCTTTTTTATTTCACTTATCTTTTTAAAATGTGTTTTAAAAAACATGAAATTATTCTACGGGATCTGGAGACGCTTTAGTGAAATGTTGTAAACATTATTCTATTATTATTGCTACTACCTTTATTTTGATTTGATTTTGAGTTTATTATAATCCTTGCTGACCTAAAATAAATATTTATACATTTTTCACTGTGGTTTTTTCTTGCTGAAGTAGTTAAAACTGTTAAACTAAGAATTTTGTGTTTTGTCTTTGAAAGCTTTTATTAAACCTTAATGCAAAAATTTAAATGTATACGTGAAAAAGAACACGTGACCAGAACCTTTGGGTCATCTAATTGGGTTCAAATCAAAGCCAACAGAACCGAACCGCCAGGTTCTACTTACCCATCTTCCCGGCCATCACACAGATGTAAATACAGTCAGAGTTATTCTTTGGACTCACTGAGGAACAGAAACAGAGAACACTCAGAGTTAAGACATATAGCAGCACAGCTACGACGTTAGCTTGGCACAACACCTGCACCTGACTGAGCTGATTGTTCCCTTACTGTCAATTACATCATTCGCTGTGTCCTCCATCCTTTTCTGTCCCTTTTGGAGTGCTACACAAACATCAGGGCTGCCAACTGACACCATGCCACCCCACCCCCCACCACCAAACAACAGAGGGAACAACCAACAAACTGTTTTATTATAACAATAAAAGGTTGCTGCTGTTATTTAAGACCTACCTGATAAAATAGAAGACGATTTAAAAATCTCTTGTAGGTAACTGGTCGAGTTTCCCATCACGTCTAAAAGTACAGCAGTAAAATCTAAAAACAAATAATAAAACTCACTAAATGAAGAGATTAATCATCTGTGAGAATAACTGATTTTAAATCCAAAAGGGTTCAAATTAGGGATGCACAAAAAAATCCAGCCACCGAAAATATTCGGCTCCTGATGGGGAGCAGTTTTCAAACACCATCAACTCAGAAAATTCCAACAGAAACACCCAGAAGTGTTGCTCAGACTCAAGTCACACATCTCCACTATCTTCTGGTGTAAAGGAATAACTTCATGAGGGATGTATTTGCAGCTGTAGCTTGTTAAACACAATATTGGGACTTTTGAGCATAAAGGGACTCTAAGGAAGTTTAACAGCCAAAATATGTATACGGTAGAAATAATCAATTTCTTCTTCATACATCCTCCTGCAATGCCCTGGTCCTGTAAATGGCCTGTATTTGATATAGCGCCTTCTAGAGTCCTGGAACCCCCCAAGGCGCTTTACAACACAATCAGTCATTCACCCATTCACACACACATTCACACACTGGTGGGGATGAGCTACAATGTAGCCACAGCTGCCCTGGGGCGCACTGACAGAGGCGAGGCTGCCGAGCACTGGCGCCACCGGTCCCTCCGACCACCACCAGCAGGCAACGTGGGTTAAGTGTTTTGCCCAAGGACACAACGACAGCGACAGACTGAGCGGGGCTCGAACCTGCAACCTTCCGATCACGGGGCGAGTACTTAACTCCTGTGTCACCGTCGCCCATGATTGCCTCTGTTTTTCTATAAAATCACAGAAAAAGAGAGATGTTCGGGTTGAACGGGCTGTAACTGACCATGTTAATGTTCCATTAATTTGCATTTTATGGGTTACAAGTGTTATTCCTTATTTTACTGTACTGTATAACACGGACAATGCTTTTATTTTGAAGGAACGGTTTTATTGTTGAAAGAACAGAGCAACAAGCTGCCGTAAATCAGTGTCGCAAACTGCACAGCAGCGGGAAAACTCCATGGAGGTAGAAGGAAGGTGTGCTCCGTGTTAAAGGAATTTACGGTTTATAAGGTTTATTTCTTATAAACCTGCGATGGTTTGAGCTCCTGGTTGATGAGGAACAAGCTCTTACGGTGAGGTCACGAGGCAAGGTCAAATAAAGGATTGTGAACCATTAGTTAGAGAGACCATCATTTCAACCGGGGACGCTACACAGGCTGCTTCATGCGCGTTCACGCTCAGGCCTAGCCCATAGCATTTGCTATCCGTAGCTTTAGCAGCAGAGAGAGAGGCAGCTCCACCCTAACGCCTAGTGACAAACCTAGCAACATTTCTGAGGACCCTTAGCTACTTTAGAACTTTCTTAGATATTTCCTGCAAATTAGCAACAAAATAGCCATTTTCACTCCAAACCGTTCTGTGGATTGATGTTGTTTCAGCTGTCATCAAGGATATAAAGTTACAGATTGATTCATTATCACTGGTGCTTTAGCTCACCTAGTAAAATGTCTGACTTACATGCAGAGGACCTGGGTTTGATTCCAGGTGTGAACATAATTTGTTATTTGGAGTTTCTTTTTTACATTAATGATATTTTTTTACAGTAATAAAACGCCCAAATTTCTTATTTGAGACTCGCCGAAAGGCACTGAATTCAGGGATAAAAAAGATGTGGGTTCAACTTTCATTTTGGAACTGTTTTTCAAGCAAGGGAAGGGAATGATCTGAGCATGCAGGAGGACTGACCCATCATAAACCTTTGTTGGCTGTGCTGAAGAGAAAGGTACAGAACCAACTTATTTAATTAATTAGCTGCGTGTTCTCCTGTCCTCTGTCCTCCGAGACACACACACACACACACACACACACACACACACACACACACACACACACACACACACACACTGCAAGTTCGGCCGGCCAACGAGAAAATGCAGCTGCAGAGACAGAGGCACATGCTGTGTTCTTCTGTCCTTTGGGCCACACAAACACACACACACACACACGGGACTGTCTCAGCTGTTATTTTCGTTAAGGAGTGTGCACGTACAGCATGTGCACCTCATGCACGAGCTTACTTTTGAATCTGCAGTTAAGTGTTAGGCCTGAGTGGCGATCGCGAGCATAAAAACTTCAAACTTCCTTAGAGCCCCTGTAAGGAGTTAATTTAACAGTCCTCAGCAGGCCTTAAGTAGGGATGGGTACCTTTGACATTTGAATCGATACGGTACCAATTCCCGGTACCTAAGAATCGATACCAGTACTTAACGGTACCAATTTACGATACTTTTGAGTGTTTAATAATTATTTAAATCGCTTTTTAATTAAACATTTATAATTTTCCCAATATTTAACCATATTTGATAAATATCATGATAAATAGCATACAACTGTTCGTATTGTATCAACGTAGTGTTTTCTAACCCTAACCCATTTAATAACTGTTTCTAAATGAGGCAAAAACAAACCCCTAATCCTCATCTAATCCCTCTGGAATAACTCTGATGAGGAGACCATGTGTTATAAACTACAAATGTAACTAAAACTAACTTTGATACCATACAACAGTTTGTATTTTAATATTGAGGTGTTTCACTAACTAAACCAGTTAAGTTGCTTTGGACAAAAGCGTCTGCTAAATACATAAACATAAACATAAACCAGCTCCATGGACTCCTCCTCCTCTCCTTTCCCCTCTGGACCAACTGTGTGATGGTGGTTCTTGTAGCTTTATAAACTGTGTGATGGTGGTTCTTGTAGCTTTATAAACTGTGTGATGGTGGTTCTTGTAGCTTTATAAACTGTGTGATGGTGGTTCTTGTAGTTTTATAAACTGTGTGATGGTGGTTCTTGTAGTTTTATAAACTGCGTGATGGTGGTTCTTGTAGTTTTATAAACTGCGTGATGGTGGTTCTTGTAGTTTTATAAACTGCGTGATGGTGGTTCTTGTAGTTTTATAAACTGTGTGATGGTGGTTCTTGTAGTTTTATAAACTGTGTGATGGTGGTTCTTGTAGTTTTATAAACTGCGTGATGGTGGTTCTTGTAGTTTTATAAACTGCGTGATGGTGGTTCTTGTAGTTTTATAAACTGCGTGATAGGGGTTCTTGTAATTTTATAAACTGCGTGATGGTGGTTCTTGTAGTTTTATAAACTGTGTGATGGTGGTTCTTGTAGTTTTATAAACTTCTAATTACACGGAAGCAAACATCTCTGCTGCAAACTAATGTACTGTGTGCGCCGTTCAATTTCAAACTGTTAATTTTAACTACTCGGAAGTTGGAATTTCCGAGGAAAAAGCTAACGCACCATTAGCTATGTAAACAAAAGCTAAACTATCAAGCCAACGTTAACTTCAACGGTTTATTTTGCTGCTGGAGCAGATTAAGATGCCTCATACGCAGATTGTTGTCGCTGGTTTCATCATCACCCAACAGCTCATTGCATTTAGAGCGGTGAAGCCAAACTTTACAGCACGTTTGCTTTCTTCTAGTCGGAATTCCAGAGTTCTAGAAGAAAGCGAACGCACCATTAGCTGAACGGACGCTAACATATCAAGCTAATGTTGTCTTATGCATTTCATTTACCTACCGGAGTAGATTAGGATGATGATGCCTCACTTAAGATGGTGGACCCCAACTTCAGAACGCCTCCTCTCTGCCGTGCTGCTTAGTTTACAGCCCGCCCACAGTGACTGACATCACGCTCTTACACCGGCGCGCAGCACGAGTACCGAAACCAAATACTGTTTAATGTGGCGTGAATCGATACTCCGTCGGCACTTTGGGATTCGGTCTGTGCCTTAAAAAGTACTGAATTCGGTACCTATCCCTAGTTATAAGCTTGCATGTTTATAATTATTTTAATTTACAATTTATTATTTAATGTGCACGAGTGGGGTCAGGGAAAAATGGAAAAGAGATCGACAGGCGGATTGGTGCTACGTCTGCAGTGATGTGGGCGTTGTACCGGTCTGTCAGAGAGAGCTGAGCCGGAAGGCGAAGCTCTCGATTTACCGTTGATCTATAGTCAGGTCCATAAATATTGGGACATCGACACAAAGATGCAGCGGAAAATGTGGCGGAAGACGCTGTAGCGCCAATGCCGTCAACATCAACGCCGTCACAGAAGGACGAACTGGAAGAACAGCAGCCAGCCAAAAGTGAGCCCAAAATAGTCTTACAGCAGGAGCCTCTTGACCCAGAAAGGGTGTTAACAAGCTACCCATCTGATACCGCAAAGTGGTACCAAACTCATGACAGGATGCGTGAGTGCTTTGCACTAAACCATCCCTCTCAAAATATTGGATATTCCTCTGCATCACAGAGGAAATCTGGAGACATAAACCGAAGCTTATCCAAGTTTGACAGTGTGAGTATCCTGTCACAGTGTTCCGATTGATCATGCGCCTTGGCTACTTGACTGACTGGTTAGCGCGCGTGACTCTCACCCGGGAGTCTGGGGATCAATCCCACCCGGGCCCTCGTTTCTCCACCTTGCCACACAAGGAACATTTCTTTAGACGTGTTTCTGCTGAGACTGAGGCCTGTGATGCTGCAATGCTGAAGATTATCCCGGAGTGGAGCATGCTAAATGGTTTCCTTGGTAAGTGTTGCTGGTTTTATTAATTATTTTTCAAATAATTTTATTAATGTTCAAATAGCATAACAAACAATAAGTTCACACTCAGAAAATTCACACCGAATTTCTGATTCAGCAGAGCCAATAACAAAATGCAGTCTGCCTATTGTAGTCCATCTATTTAAACCGGCTCTGGACACAATGCTAATGTTTTTGGCTCTATACACCACAATGGATATCAAATGAAACGAACAAGATGTGCTTTAACTGCAGACAGTCAGCTTTTATTTGAGGGTATTACATCCAAATCAGGAGAACAGTGTAGGAATTACAACAGTTTGCATATGTGCCTCCCACTTGTTAAGGGACCAAAAGTAATGGGACAGAATACGAACCATAAATCAAACTTATACATTTCAATACTTAGTTGCAAATCCTTTGCAGTCAATTACAGCCTAAAGTCTGGAACACATAAACATCACCAGATGTTGGGTTTCATCCCTGGTGATGCTCTGCCAGGCCTCTATTGCACCAGTCTTCGGTTCCTGCTTGTTCCCGGGGCATTTTCCCTTCAGTTTTGTCTTCAGCAAGTGAAATACATGCTCAGTCAGATTCAGGTCAGGTGACTGACTTGGCCATTTCAAAACAGTCCACTTCTTTCCCTTCAAGAACTCTTTGGTTGCTTTTGCAGTATGCTTTGGGTCATTGTCCATCTGCACTGTGAAGCGCCGTCCAATGAGTTCGGAGGCATTTGGCTGAATATGAGCAGATAATATATCCCGAAACACTTCAGAATTCATCGTGCTGCTTTTGTCAGCAGTCACATCATCAATAAATACAAGAGAACCAGTTCCACTGGCAGCCATACATGCCCACGCCATGACACTTCCAGCACCATGCTTCACTGATGAGGTGGTATGCTTAGGATCATGAGCAGTTCCTTTCCGTCTCCATACTCTTCCCATCACTCTGGTACAAGTTGATCTTGGTCTCATCTGTCCATAGGATGTTGTTCCAGAACTGTGAAAGCTTTGTTTAGATGTTGTTTGGCAAACTATAATCTGGCCTTCCTGTTTTTGGGGCTCACCAGTGGTTTACATCTTCTGGTGAACCCTCTGTATTCACACTGGTGGAGTCTTCTCTTGATTGTTGACTTTGACACAGATACACCTACCTCCTGGAGAGTGTTCTTGATCTGGCCAACTGTGGTGAAGGGTGTTTTCTTCACCAGGGAAAGGATTATTCGGTCATCTACCACAGTTGTTTTCCGTGGTCTTCCGGGTCATTTGGTGTTGCTGAGCTCACAGGTGCATTCCTTCTTTTGAGAATGTTCCAAACTGTTGTTTTGGCCACGCCTAATGTTTTTGCTGTCTCTCTGATTGGTTTCTTTTGTTTTTTCAGCCTAATGATGGCTTGCTTCACTGATAGTGGCAGCTCTTTGGATCTCATCTTGACGGTTGACAGCAACCGATTCCAAATGCAAATAGCACACTTGAAATTAACTTTGGACCTTTTATCTGCTCATTGTAATTGGGATAATGAGGGAATAACACACACCTGGCCATGGAACAGCTGAGAAGCCAATTGTCCCATTACTTTTGGTCCCTTAACAAGTGCACATATGCAAACTGTTGTAATTCCTACACTGTTCACCTGATTTGGATGTAAATACCCTCAAATAAAAGCTGTCAGTCTGCAGTTAAAGCACTTGTTGTTCGTTTCATTTGATATCCATTGTGGTGGTGTATAGAGCCAAAAATGTTAACATTGTCTTGTTGTCCCAATATTTATGGACCTGACTGTACCTTCCTACCCTCACCTGTGGTCACAAGCTTTGGGTAGTGACCGAAAGAACAAGATTGCGGATACAAGCGGCTGAAATGAGTTTTCTCCGCAGGGTGGCTGGGCTCTCCCTTAGAGATAGGGTGAGAAGCTCAGTCATCCGAGAGGGGCTGGGAGTAGACCCACTGCTCCTCCAAGTTGAGAGGAGCCAGTTGAGATGGCTCTGGCATCTGGTCAGGATGCCTCCTGGACGCCTCCCTGGTGAGGTTTTCCGGACACGTCCAACCAGGAGGAGACCCAAGAGAAGACCCGATGAAGGGACTGTCTCTCGGCTGGCCAGGAAACACCTTGGGATTCCCCCGGAAGAGCCGGCCCAAGCAGCTGGGGAGGGGGAAGTGTGGGTGTCTCGTCTTAGGCTGCTGCCCCCGTGACCTGACTCCAGATAAGGGCTGAAAATGGATGGATGGATGGATGGATGGATGGGGTAGGGGGTGAAACATTTTATTTAGTTTTAATTTATAGTGTGTACTGTTGTTAGGGTGAGGTTTTGTATTTCATTTATTGTAATGCTTTGGTTTCAGTGAGGTTTAGTTCACATCATAGCCATAAATGCTACAGTTCAAATTATTCACTTAATTGTTTATTTCGGATTTCAGTTTTTCTGCCTTGGTTTCGTCATTTTAGGTTCTGGCCAGGAATTTTCATTTCGGTGCATCCCTAGTTCAAATGAAGGCAACTGGATGTTTTTTGCTTTCAAATGAACCCTTTTGGATTACCATGACCTGGATGAGAACCTTCACCAACAAACTGATTTTAAAAAGTTTTACCTGCTAAATCGTTGGTTCCGTTAGTGATGCAGTAGCAGAACCTCCTCCTCAGCCCGCTGCTCTCTAAACTCTTAATGCTGGAAACTAAAAAAAATAAAAGTTACAGGATTAAATCAGTTTAATTCTACTTGGTGGAGCTGATAAATCCCCAGATGTTACTGATGTGATTGTGAAATTAACCTGTGTGTATGTGGGAGGTGGGTAGTAAATCATTTAAAATGTGCAAAAGTCTGAATAAAAGTGATTTATGTACATCATCAAAACATTTTATATTATTAACATTAATCCTACAAATCTTATTTCTCAAATTAGGATTATCACGTCCATCACTTAAAAATGTGTTTGATTAAAAAAACACAAATAATTAACTGAGGGTTTTTATAATGCTTTCTTCCTGCACATCCGGGCCACTAGATGGCAGTATTTACCAAGTTCTGTGTGATAAATCCACCTGTTGATGACTAAAAACTCCACATCCAGTTGATGCTCTGAGTTATTTTGTGTTTGCAGCTTAAGAAACAGAAGTTGGACAAAAGAAACCATATTTACTGTTGTAAACCAACAGGGTGAGTTTGTGGAGAGCCAAAGAGCTGTAGGACGTCACGCTGAGCAGAGAGAACAGCTGCCGAGAGCCTGAGACACAAACATCAGCATCAGCCTTCTCATTCACCATTACACAAAAAGAATCATTAAAATGTCTATAAATGCATTTTAAAACTTATCAACCTGTTGACACTTTTATCCTTTAAAAGTAAAAGTTACAGCCGCGCCGGTGAGCGATGTGGTGACAACCTACCAGACTGGCTGGAATTTATTAGAGTATTGACCAGAGGAGTGAGGTCGAGGGCAGCGGGATCGATGTGCTCCGCCGAGATTTCTGAGGAATAAAAGAGAGGTGAAGTCAGACAGAGGTGTTTTCTGGGTCTAACCTCCATCAGGGAATTAGCTGCTTCAGTGGAACGGGGCGGGATAATTACTGCAGATAGTAAAACGCAGGAAGAAGAGGGAATTACGCTCCGAGGCATGGACGTAATTTTTTTTTTTTTTTGGGGGGGGGGGGGGGGGGGGGGTATGTCCCCCCCTGTTTTTCCAAAGTCAAGTTTTGACCCCTGTACTTTTTACCATCCAAAAACAATATTACACTATATTGACACTGGTTGAGCTCTAGGACCAAGTGGAAAGCAACCGTTTGTGTTGAAGCCCGTTTCCCATTAGAACATATTGTAAAGATACCCCCCCATGTCCCCTTCCACTTCTAAAGTGAAAATTACGTCCTTGCTCTGAGGTGGGCAATACTGAATGATACCAGTACTGTAGCAGAGGACGGTGCTGCAAGTATTTCATTAAATGCACTCCAGATATTATTTATATCCTTTAGTTTGCACGAGTTTAATTACAGTTTATTTTAATTCTGGTTTTAGCTTCATGCTGGGAAGGTTCTCAGTCATCCAAAAGGGTTCACACGAAGGCAGCTGGACTTTGGTTTTAGCTTCACACACAAAATAAAAACCCAAGCATGAGGAGTCAGAACGGAGTGGTTATTGTGAGGTGTGCAAATATTACTGATGAGGTAAGAAAAAAAAACTTTTCAAATAAACATGCATTAAAGTGTGTCGCTGCCATCCTACTATGGTGGTCCAGAAGGTTCAACTGCAACAGAAGTAAAGTGGACTTTTAAATATACTAGAATATACTGGAGTATTAGAAATAAACTTCTGATCAACTTAAACTTTGATTAAAATACATGAATATTTGCTTTAATCTTTACTTAACTACAGAGTCACAAAATACACCTCTGTTACGTATATTGTGTGCCCGTATGTGTGCTGTTTTTCTTTTATTGTGTTTGTTTAAAATGGCGCATTTAAGTACAAACCAGATAAGAACAGACAACATGACTACAAGACACACAGCCGTTCATGGCACCTGCAGCTTTAAAAAAAAAGCTCTATGCCGTGCCAGCCCTTCAAACCCCCGGGACACCACGTCCAGGCCTTCAGGGGGTTTTGGAAGGTGGATGACCTGGTGGCGAATGGCCACAACCTCCTCCGTGACTCTGTGGGCGATGCGGTGGACAGTCGAACAAGGTATCCCGAACACTCTGGAGACCACCCTGTAAGAAGCTCAGCTTGCCAACCAGAAAAGAAACACCAGGGTCTCAGTTGTGGCACCCCAACCATGACGCCGATCTTGGTTCAGCAGATTCAGCAGCACTGAAAGGGACTCCCTGCTCAAATGAAAGTCTGGTCTTGGATCTTGCTGGTTGAAGAAACGGTCCAGGACTGGGACACTCAGGTTAATCCTGCAGTATCTGGGTCTAGTCTGGTTAAAGAGAAATACAGAAAAAGTTTTATAACAAAGCTGTAGTTTCAAGTTTTTATAAAACATAACATTATTCTCAATGTAAATGTGATAATATTGTACATTTTCATGCTATTCTTTCAAATTTCTAAAAACGTAACTGTTGAAGAATGTATGCAATGAAGGCCGAAAGATCAATTATATTTTGAAAGTGCTTTCTGTAATAAGTTTTGTAAGTCATTTAACAAGTTCTTATTTTTGTCCACTAGATGTCCTTCTACAGGTAATTGATAGTTCCATGTAATGTGCTCTTTCTGCTAATAGTTATTTGTTATTTAATGATATCCAAATTTTTGAATTTTTTTTTATTTAAGCCTTTTTCACATTTTTTTTCTTCTTACTTGAGTAACTCTTTTGGTGGGGAGCTTTTTCAGTTGAGTAAGTAAAAGATTTGAAGTTGTAGTTTATATTTGAGTATAAGTTTTGAATTTAATACGGAGTCTGTTTACAACCTGTAAAAAGTTGCTAAAACTATCCATTAAACTAGCTATAGCCGATAGGTAAAAGCCTACTTAATGGAAATTACTTTACCTGTTCATTGTTGTGTCTCAGCCTGAGCAATTGAAAGTGGCTTTGCTGGCGATACATGTCTTCTAACTCCTCCAGAACCAAGGAAATGATTAAAAAGCTCAATAAAACTTCCAGCTCCATCATTTGAAGTTCCTTCTCCCTTCTTCTCAGCGGTTCCACGGTTGCTAGGTGACGGAATGTTCACCAAGGGAGTGGCGGGAATTCATGAAGGCTAGGCCTGTCCAAATTCACAGCCATTAACATCCGGTCTACTCGGCCGACGGAGGACCCAGCCCACGTCGGCCGAGTAGGCTGGGTCCTTCGAAGGATGCAGACCCTGAATTGAGACACAGCGAACATGACTACAAGACATCGCTGGAGGGTGGCGTCCCTGTTGCTGTGGAGACGTTTCGGGATTCCCTCGCTGCAGACTTTCTCTCCGATGACATTTGGAAGTTCCCGCTCCGAATTGCTGCAGCCACACCTGCTGCTCATCTTGGACTGAGTGTGTTTGTTCCCGTGAAAGGATAAAAGGAACGTTGGATATACGCCCGAGGAGCTACTCCTAACCCATGAGTAGTCTCCATTTCTGCTCCGTTCTGGACACCCTGACTTTACAGAAAACTGTTGCGATTACGTACGTGTGTTTAGAGGAAAGCCTCTGAATGGTATTCTACCTTAGCCTGAGTCAGTGGTTCCTAGTATCTACTGCCAACTCTTTGTACTGGTATCTTTGCCTAGACAGAAAGCTAATTATTCTCCATTCTTTGAAAGGCTTCTTTTGTTTGGCTTCGGAGAGCCTTTTGCTTATAGAAGCTCTTAGCAACCCGTACCACCTTAAGCAAATGTTTTATTTGAAAAGCAACCAGAAATCTGTTGATCATAGTCCGTTTTCCGGCTTTTAATTAAAAGCTGTGATTTTTCTTTAGTAGCTTTTTATTGACTCAGGAGTTTTTCTTTGTTGGGCTGTGTCTAGTGGTATTTGTTAGAACCTCCAGCCCCAATAACAAGTGTACACTGTGTAACAAAAACAATGTGAGTATTTTAATTAAATAAGGAAAATATTTTTATACCCAGGTTTCTTTCTCATCTGTTCTTATCTTTTCTCTTGGCTTCTTAAAGGGAGTGGGGAAGCATAGCAAGTAAAAACCTAACAAGTGGGGGCTCGCCCGGGATCTCTTCTGCTACTACTCTTCTTTTTCCTCTTTTCTATTTCTGTTGCTAATCTTTGCTTGGGTAGAGAAAATATTTTCCTGTGCAATAACATGTCTGGGTTTGAGTCGCAGGCCTTCCTAGAGGCCCCTTCCCATAGACAAGTGGAGATATGTCGGAAACAGGATCTATTGGAGGTAGCTGTTCACTTGGGTCTCCCTGGTGCTCAGCAAATGCTGAAGAAGGATCTTAAGGAGCATATTGTGCTCACCATGGAACAGTTAAAGAATGCTATCTCCTTTGTCTGATCCTGCTGTTTTGCCTTCACAGCTAAAGGGGGACATTGATGGAGGTGAAGAGGATGCTGATGGCACCGCAGCGGGTGGTGGAGAAAAGGATGTGGCAGATGAGAGACGAACTCCAGAAAGGGGCGGGGGACAAAAGACCCCTCCGTTAACTCTCCCTCGTTATGATCTGTCTTCCTCAGAGTCCAGGACCAGTTCTCCTGACCACGCCCGGCTGCAATTGCGATTGGCTCGCTTGAAGCAGGAGGCAGAGGACAAGCAGCAGCAGAGGGACTTTGAAATGCAGGTGCTAGAACTGGAAGCTGACACGAAGATAAAGCTTCGACGGTTGGAGCTGGAGAGATACAGGCGCAACAGCCAGTCCTAAGAAGGGACGTGCCTCACACGAGACTGGGGATGGTTCCTGAGCGGCCAGACATCGGGAAGTGCATGACGCTGATGCCACCATTCCGTGAGGCCGAAGTGGACAGCTACTTCACCGCATTTGAGCGCTTAGCGACGGCACTCTGTTGGCTGCGGGAAGTATGGCCTCTCCTTTTGCAGTGCTAATTGAGTGGGAAGGCGCAACAGGTGATGGCATCTCTGTCTGTACAAGATGGTTCTGACTATGATACGATTAAAGCTGTTTTGCACGCAAATGAGCTTGTACCTGAGGGTTGCCATCAGAAATTTAGGTATTCAAGAAAAAGGGATGCGTCTCAGACATTTATGGATTTTTCTAGCGAAAAAAGCTTATTGTTTGATAAATGGGTTTTGGCGTCCAAAGTAACTACGGTATCGGAGCTGAAGGAGCTGATTCTTCTTGAAGAATTCAAGCGTTGTTTACCTGAGAGGATTTTTTGTATCTAAACGAACAAAACGTGACTACTTAGTCTGCTGCTGCCATTTTGGCTGATGAGTTTGCTCTTACACATTGTGTTAAAGTTGAAAACAGAGTAAGACATGAAAGACACTATGCTGTGAAACCAAGAATGCCATGAACTTTGGGTATGATAAGTCCTCCACGCTGTTTTTATTGTCACAAACCAGGACATGGGGTTAAGGATTGTCTACTTTTGAAAAAGAAAAAAGACAGATCTGATGTTTCAGAACAGGAGGTTGCCTTTCTTTCTCAAACTTAGACAAAATCTAGCAGGAAGATATTAGACAAGAGTTTCGAGCCATTTGTGTTCAGTGGTTCAGTGAGTCTGGGTGACAATGAAACGTGTTCAGTGCCAGTGAAAATTCTTAGAGACACTGGTGCCTCACACACCCTTATTTTGAACAGTGTGCTACCATTTAATGACACCAGTTTCACAAACGTCTCAGTCCTGTTAAATGAATTAACTTCAGAGGTTGTTTCATGCCCAGTATATGAGATAAACCTTAACAGCGATCTCGTCTGGGAGATTTAAAGTGGCTGTTTGTTTGGCTCTGCCTGTTGCTGGCATTGCTATACTTTTGGGCAATGATATTGCAGGAGGCACTGTTGTGCCCACACCTCAAGTGGTGGAGAACTCTATGATTTTGGCGTGTAGAAAATCGCCCCCAGGTATCTCACCTGCTTGTGTAGTCACAAAATCAAGTGCTAAAAAAGATGTTGAGAATCTACTGAATGTATCCACCTTGTTTGAAGGGTCTGGAACCCGGCCTGTGTTTCATGATCAGCCTCAGGAAACAGTTCCTGTTGAAGACGTCCCAGAACATTCTTCAGGGAGTCAAGATGATAAGGATCCGATTTCCCAATCAACAATGATTACAGAACAGAAAAGGGACAAAGCCTTGGATAAGTGTTTCTCTGCTGTAAGTGATTCTGAAGAAAAATCGGTAGGATATTACCTTCAAGAAGGTGTTTTAATGAGGTATTGGAGAAATCCCAGAGCAGAAAAGGCTCCCTGGTGTAGAGTAAACCAAGTTGTCATCCCTCACTGTTTTCAACATCAAATCATAGCCCTTGCTCATGAAAGCAAATGGTCAGGTCATTTGGGTATTAAGAAAACTTAGCTTGCTATGTTGGATCACTTCTTTTGGCCAGGGATGAAGAAAGATGTTGCTAACTTTTGTAAACAGTGCCATACCTGTCAACTGGTGGGAAGGCCTAACCAACCAATTACCAAAGTGCCTTTATCACCAATTCCAGTAATAGGAAATCCGTTTGACCACATTGTTGTTGACTGTGTGGGTCCACTGCCCCGCACGCAAACAGGAAAGAAATACATGTTAACCATAATGTGTCGGGCTACTCGTTTTCTGGAAGCCATCCCACTGTCTTCTGTTACTACTAAGTCTGTCATTAAAGCTCTGACTGTTTTTTTTTTCACTTTTCGGATTGCAGAGGGTAATGCAAACTGATCAAGGCTCAAATTTTACATCTGACCTGTTTAAAAAGGTGGCAGAATCATTAGGAGTTCAACATATCATGTCATCACCCTACCATCCTGAGTCGTAAGGTGTGTTGGAGCGTTGGCATCAAACCTTCAAGAGCATGCCAAGAAAGTATTGCTACAGTACTGGTTGTCAGTGGGATGAGGGAGTCCCGTTTTTTCTGTTTGCAGCTAGAGAAGTGTCCCAAGAGTCATTGGGGTACAGTCCTGCTCAGCTTGTATTTAGCCACACCCCCAGAGGTCCGTTGCAAGCTTTGAAAGAGCGCTTATTACGGTCTCCAAGTTCTAAGAAAGCCAAAGTAACTCAGTATGTCAAGATGTTCAGGAGTCGTCTGCGTCATGCCAATGAAGTGGCTCGTGAGCATCTTAAACACGCTCAGAGTTCCATGAAAGTTAGCTTTGATAGAAGGGCTAAACATCGTGAATATTTTCCTGGAGATCAGGTTCTAGTTTTAACGGCAATATCGGGGGATTCTATGACCACGCGTTTTGAGGGTCCGTTTGAGGTTAGTCATAAGGTTGGTGACAACACCTATGCCATAAAAACAGCAAAACGCAGAGGGTCTGTGCCTGTGTGTCATAGCAACTTGCTAAAAACCTATGTTTCTCAGGTTACCCCTCAGGAGGTGTCCAGTGATGTCCCTGTGTGCGCAGCTGGTGTCATCTCAACATCCCTGAACCCAGAGGAGCTAGGAACAAGTTCTATTGCTACTATGAGTCCCCGCCTGAAAAACTCAGTGGCGTTGAGAAAGCTAGATGAAAAGTTGTCACATTTGGACAGTGGACAACATGATGACCTTTATGTGCTCATTAACTCTCATTTGAGTTTGTTTTCAGATATTCCTACTCGTACAACTGCGTGTTATCATGATGTAGTTCCTACAGAGACCGCACCTATGAAGCAGCATCCTTATAGGGTTATTCAGGACAAGAGAGCTTTGATAAAGCAGGAAACTGACTACTTGATACGGAATGGATTGGCCATTCCAGGCTGTAGTCCATGGAGTTCCCCGTGCTTGATTGAGAGGAAACCTGATGGTTCCCCACGATTCATCACTGACTACAGGAAAGTGAACGTTGTGACAGTCTGATTCTTACCCTTTGCCTAGAATTGACGATTGCATTGATAGGGTGGGGATGTCAACCTTTGTTGCCAAGAATGACTTATTGAAAGGTTATTGGCAGGTTCCTTTAACCAACGCAGCATCAGAGATTTCAGCTTTTGTCACACCAGATGCATTTTTGCAGTATACTGTCATGCCGTTTGGCATGAAAAATGCTCCTGCCACTTTCCAGCGTCTTACAGTGACGGCTGGTTTGGATTGTTGCAGTGCTTACCTGGATGACATCGTTGTCCATACTACTTTGTAGGAAGACCACATGAAAACGTTGACGGAGTTATTTGATCGCTTAGCTGCTGCACGTTTGGCTGTAAACTTAGCTAAGTGTGAGTTTGTGAAAGCCACGGTCTTTTACTTAGGTAAAGAAGTAGGGCATGGTTTTGTGAGGATGCTTTCTGACAAGGTTAAATCAGTCTCCGAGTTCCCAGTTCCAAGGACCAGGAAGGAGTTAAGACGTTTTTTGGGAATGGTCAGATATTACTGGTGTTTCTGTAACAACTTTGCTACTGTGGTTTGTCCTCTCACACAATTATTAAGTCCCAAGGTCCCCTTTAAGTGGAACCAGGAAGCTCAGGCGGCCTTTACTTCCTGCAAGCTTCTTTTGACAAATGCTCCTATCCTGAAAGCTCCAGACTTAGCTAAACCTTTCTTTATGGAAGTGGATGCGAGCCAGGTGGGAGTGGGAGCTGTTTTTTTGCAAAATGATGAGTGGTTTGGTTCATCCTGTTGCTTATTTCTCGAAAAAGTTCAGCCCTTGTCAGACCCGTTATTCTACCGTGGAGAAGGAAACCTTGGCATTACTGATGGCGTTACAACATTTCCATGTTTATGTAGGTTCTAGTGACAAGCCCCTCACGGTTTATGCAGACTGTAACCCGTTAACGTTTTTGGCGAGAATGTTTTATCACAACCAGCGGCTGATGAGGTGGGCTCTACTGTTACAGGAGTTTCACCTAGTGATTAAGCATAAGAAGGGAACGGAGAATGTGATGGCTGACTGTCACGTGTTGCAGAAGTGGATGAAGGAAGGATAGAGTAGTGTTAAGCATTGTTTATTGTAAACAACAAACTTGTTTTGTTGTTGGAAGGTGTTATGTTCCCTACTATTGTGTGGCCGTATGTGAGCTGTTTTTCTTTTTTCTTTTATTGTGTTTGTTTGAAATGGCGCATTTAAGTACAAACCAGATAAGGACATACAACATGACTACAAGACATCGCTGGAGGGTGGCGTCCCTGTTGCTGTGGAGATGTGCCGGGATTCCCTCACTCTGGACGTTCTCTCTGACGTCATTGGGAAGTCCCCGCTCCGAATTGCTGCAGCCACACCTCCAGCTCATCTTGGACTGAGTGTGTTTGTTCCCGTGAAAGGGTAAAAGGAAAGTTGGATACACGCCCGAGGAGCTACTCCTAACCCATGAGTAGTCTCCATTTCTGCTCCGTTCTGGACACCCTGACTTTACAGAAAACTGTTGTGATTACATGCGTGTGTTTAGAGGAAAGCCTCTGCATGGTATTCTACCTTAGCCTGAGTCAGTGGTTCTTAGTATCTAGTGCCAACTCTTTGTACTGGTATCTTTGCCTAGACAGAAAGCTAATTATTCTCCATTCTTTGAAAGGCTTCTTTTGTTTGGCCTTTTGCTTATAGAAGCTCTTAGCAACCCGTACCAACTTAAGTAAATGTTTTATTTGAAAAGCTACCAGAGATCTGTGATTTTAGTCTGTTTTCCAGCTTTTAATTAAAAGCTGTGATTTTTCTTTAGTACCTTTTTATTGACTCAGGAGTTTTTCTTTGTTGGGCTGTGTCTAGTGGTATTTGTTAGAACCTCCAGCCCCAATAACAAGTGTACTCTGTGTAACAAAAACAATGTGAGTGTTTTAATTAAATAAGGAAAATATTTTTATACCCAGGTTTCTTTCTCATCTGTTCTTATCTTTTCTCTTAGCTTCTTAAAGGGAGTGGGGAAGCATAGCAAGTTAAAACCTAACAACCTCAAACATACAAATGAGCCTCAAAGTGACAAAAAGTACATAAAAATGATGAAAATACCTGTAGAGTTATGAAAGTCTCTCCTGTGTCTGTCTCCTGGCCCTCTGGTTATTAATGCTGAATAAGGAAAGAAAGGTGAATTTAAATAACATTTTTATCAGAACTAAACTTCATCTCAGAGGTTATCTTTGCATCACAGCCAACTCTGGCCCACCTGGTCATGAAATGTTTCAAATGTGTCATCTTTTATTAAAACCAAGGGGGAACCCCAGGCTCTCAGAACAGAAGCCAACAAGGAAGTGACTAAAATTGCAGTTCCACCTTCATCCACTAGGGGCTGGCACCAGAAGTGAGCTAACCCTCATTGACTTCCACCTTCACAGCAGAAATAAACATGTTTACAGCCTGGTTAAAAAACTATTTTAGGTTTAATAGATCTAGTTTACATCCATGACAACTCTGAGGGGAGTGAGTTTTGTTGTGACTCTTCTTTTTAAGTGGAATTTAATGTCTAGAATTCAGAATAATTAATGAGCATCAGAGCCACGTGACTTCGGAGCTAGCTCCGGGGAAAGGCGTAAGCCTCACGTTAATAGATGTTCGGCCATTTCGACTCTCTGAACTTTAGTCTTGTCTGTGTTCATGTTTGAATATTAATCATGGGATTATTTAGACACAGAGGCCAAGCTGTGGTTATTGACTGCACTAAAAGACCATGTCTCTGCTTCTAACTGCTTGGTCAGACATGTTAGTGGGGCTGGATAAGAGACTTGAGCCGATGCCCATCTGTCTCCTGCCTGAGAACAGTTGCTAGAGCAGGCAGCTAGCTGTTCCTGTTTTCCGGGGCATCCGGGATGCACGGACCGGCTCCGATGCCAGGCTGTAGTCATGCTGGTCACTTGTGGACTTCTGACAAACCACAGAAACACTTCTGCTCTTTTAGATGACGCTGCTTCACTTTGGAGTCACTCAACTGCATTTTTCTTTCTAATAGTTTGCTGGTTGAATGGGGGGAAATTCTGTGTGTTTACCTTAACACTGCTTGGTCTAAGATGGGTTGAAATATAACTTAATGGTGTGGCTGCTGGGTTAAAAAAATAAAGCTACATATCTGACCGAGGATAGCGGAGGATATTCGCTGGTCCACCGTGGTCAAAGATCCATGAGTTCGCTGTTGTCGACGGTCCCAGCATACCGCAACATGGCTCTGGCTCCGTATAGACACAGCGCCAGTGGCCGAGTCAACGATCATCCTGGCTACGATCGCACCAGTCTGATGCTCCGCTTGTAATTTAACAGTCCCGTCCATATTCGATCTACACAGGAAACCAGCATGACTACAGCCTCACATGGCCGTGCAGGTGGGCTACTCTAGTCCCCGGAGCCCTTCTTAGCTTCTTGGGTGAGCTGTTAGCTAGTACATTGGTTCATTTGTTCCAATGTACAAGCTCCACCTCTTTTCCCATTTTTGGATTGTCTGGGTGTGACGAGACGTGTGACACGATCAAAATGGCGGTTATTTGTCTGGTATATAGGTTAATGACTAAAACACACAAAATACACCTAATTACACAGTTGTGGGTGTGTCACTCAGAAGTTGTGCTAAGAAGAGCTGACCCACCTTGGGTGAAGAGCAGGAAAAATAAAACTGTAGAAACAAAAGTTAAAAAACAAAAATGTGACTGATGGAGAAATCCCCATGATCCTGCCATGGTCCTGCAGAAAACAGAAAGACTAAAGGTCAACAATTTACAAAAATCATTTTAAAATCTGTACATTTTACAGCAGGAATCAGGTGAAGGCTACATCTACTCCTCATCATTAAATCCAAACCTGTTCGACTCTAAAATAACTGATTTGTTCCAGAGCCAAACAAGTGTCCAGTTCAGTAAAAGGTCCCCGTCCTAACCCTGATCAGACCGGGTTCTCCTGGACCATCAGTCCTCTTTCACACCAATGGCTCTGTTTAAAACATCTCTGTAGAATCGTTCTGATTCTGGAGCAGATTAGTATCTGGTTCCTGAATCTCCACCAGAAAATACGTAAAACTACAGCACAAAAAGCTTTTGATTAGACTAAATCTGGACTAAAATTTCATTAGCATTAAAGACAACAGTTTTACTCCTAAATCATCGTTGCTTCCTGTCTGCATGCTTGTTAAACTTTTTTTGACACTCTAAATTTACATCTAAATATTATTAAACATGTAGCTTCCTTTTCTTTGTTAAAGCAAACAACCAAGAGAAATAAAAGATTGGCATTCATCCATCAGAGGTGAACTAAGCCACATTAAAGACGTTACACCCTGAATTTGCCTCAAAGAAAACCAGAACACAGCGCTTACCTCCTGAGCTGAGCGGGACGCTGAAATCCAGCAGAATCAACCGTGTCAGTGTCCCACCGTCGGTCAGTTAAGGATGAAAGCAGCAGCAGATATGAGATCAGCACAAACATGAAACCCCAGCGTTAGGCTGCAGGTTGGACGCTGATCCGCTGACTTCAGGTGAAAGGATCCTCTCTTCAATCCCAGCCTGAACTATACTGCCCTGCAAAGGCAGAGAGAGAAACTACAGATGATCTGAAATCAGACGCCATCAACTCCTAAACAACTCCTAAATCTGTGAACTTTTAGTTGCTAGTCAGCCCACCAGTTTCTCCTGGAGGTGCCGAGAATGAAGAGAAAGCTCAGGGGTGATAGAGCTTTCTCAGTAGCAGCCCCAAGGTTGTGGAATGCACTCCCAATCCAGATTAGGATGATTTCCTCACTGTCAGGTTTTAAATCACTTTTAAAGACTCATCTGATTTTAGTAGCTTTTATGTCAGTTTGAAACGTTTGTTTTTGTCATGTTTTTACTTTTGATTAACTTTTATCTTATTTTTAGCATTAAAGGAATCTACTGTTCGTTTTGGCTTGTTAAGCACGTTGGTCAGCTTTTATGCTGTTGTAAAGTGCTATCTAGATAAAGTACACATGACTAAACAGGTTTTAAAAATCAGCTTTTTAGCAATAATTACTTATCAGCTACAGAAAAGCCAAGTCATGTAAATATGTCCAAGTTCTAAACTTAGACATTTAAGTCCAGCTACTTTAATAATTTAAACTCCTGAAATCTTTACTTTTAATATATACATTTAAGGCAACTAAACATTTTCATGTGGACAATGGCAAAGGTTTGTGTGTCGAGATGGAATGTATTGAAACAACATAATGGCAAATGTTCTTGAATTACCTAAAAAAAGGATTGAGGATGGCTCATTTGAACATATGTAGTTTAAGATACAGCATGTAGCAGAAATGACATCCGGATGGGATTTACATATAATGGCGATTACTAAAACACATTTAGATGAGTCTAATAATTTGCTAGGTATAGAGGGGTATGATATATAGATCTGACAGGAATACAAAAGGAGGAGGAGTGGCAATTTTTGTTCAAGATCACATACCAGTAAAGGTTAAGAGGGGATTTGAGAAATGGGGAATTAGAAGTAATCTGGTTACAGGTGCATTTACCTCATTTAAAGCCACTGTTAGTTGGGTGCAGTTACCGCACCTAATGCAGAAGTTAAATATGTTAATTTAATATGTGAAATGATTGACTGTGTGACGTGGATAATGAGATTTACTGGGAAATTTTAATATTGACTGGAATAAAAAATGTGCCATCAAAAGTATATTTTTAGCTAGAGCACAAACTTGTAATTTGAAGCAGATGATCAGGAGCCCAACTAGGATAAGTTACAGGGCGGATGGATCAGTATCAGCCACTTGGATGGATTATACAAACATACCAGCAAAGTGTTCAACAGCAATAACAGTACCGGTAGGCTGTAGTGATTAAAATTTAGTAGCAATAGGCCAAAAGACAAAAATGCCAAAATCTGGTCAGAAGATCATTTTCAAACGGATCTTAAACTTTGAATGGAATATTACATGGCATTGCTTGGTTGATAATTTTGAAAGATTATTGTGGCTCTTAAGAGTTTTTTATAAATTAACACCTGTCATTGAGACATGCACCAATAAGAAAATTAACTGGGAGGAACTCTAAGGCTGCCTGGTTGGATGAAAAACTTGAGAAATATCGAGAGAAGGCAAAGGCAGAAGCGCTAAAATCAGGAGACACAATGAGGTGGGAATAAACTGAGGAATCAAATCACTAAAATAGAATTGAGTGTTTTATCAAAGTAAAATTGATTCTGTAAAGGGGATAATAAATGTGGAATACGATTAAGGGTAACAGCATATTTTTTTTTTTTAGAAGCTGACGGGAAAGTTCTCACCAAGTTTAGAGAAAGCTAGCTACTTTAACTATTTTAGTAATAAAATAGTAAATGTAAGGGAAGGACTTGGTTTTGTGGATAAAGATGCAATATCTGGTGAATTAAGAGAAAATTATGGCAAACAAAACATGTTAATTTTCTTTTGTGACTGTAGATGCAGATAATGGCAAAATTACTTCAGGATGGTAAAGAAAAACCAGCTGGAGTTGATGAATTGGAGATGAAGTTGTTAAAGTGGGTAGCTGATTTAATTGCAATACTAGTGGCTCACATTAATACAAGTCTAGGAGCAGGTGTTTGTCCATTGGAATGGAGAATAGCCAAAATAGTCCCAATACCAAAGAACCAGTTTCTGGAGAAAGTAGCAGACCCATTAGTTTACTACCAGCTCTTGGAAAGATAAGAGCAAGTAATATGTGAACAAATTCAAGAATATTTCTGTATAAATTGACTGAATATAACACGCATACAGGAAAGGGCACTCCACAGCTACCGCTTTTGCCGTCATGCCGGGCTGCAGTCTTTTGACCCACATGAAAGAATCACACGTGGAGAGAGGCGAGTAAAATATAAATGTTTTATTATAAAGAAAATTAACAAGAACGAAGAGCGCTGATCCAAACTGAGCCAGGGCGAGTATTCCGATTCTATAACAGAAGATAATGAAATTAATACTGAGAACCAAGAAAACACCGTGGAGTAATGGTGGCGGAGTCTTACTGTGTGAAGTGGGGGTTTGAGCAGGAGAGGGAGGCAAGTCAGATCTGAGCCAGAGATTGTCTGGTGGAGAGGAGTAGCAGGCAGTAGAGTAATCCAGGACAGGTGAGCAGGAGACCAGAGGAGTTAGTGGCGTTGGGTAATAATCCACTTCTGGCAGCAGGAAGCAGAGGCAAGAATCCAGGGCTGGTACTGGAGCACACAAGGAGGATAAAACTGAGCACAGGGGAGGAAAAAAAATGAACATAAGGCTAGATTCAAACAGGAGCAAGGAGCGCTGGAGTACCCAACAATAGAGTACCAACCGGCACTGAAGTGTGGCAACACCGCTCCTTATATCCTCTGGCCTGGCTGATGGTAATCAGCTGCAGCTGTGACTCTCCAGCCTGCTCACCTGCAAACACTTAAGAGCACAGCAGCAGAGAAAAAGCAGAGCCATGACACTTGCGCAGATGACTGATGATTGGAAGACAGAAATAGATAATAAAAAATTAGTTGGTGCAGTGACTTAAGTGCAGCTTTGATGTACTAGATCGTGATGTGTTATTGGATAAGTTGCAGTGCTATGGATTTGAATCGACTGTCATAACATGGATGAGCAGCTTTCTAATAGGAAAATATAGTATATTTCAATGGAAGTTACTCTGAGCAACTGGTAGTGAGCTGTGGGGTGCCACAAGGGAGCACTCTGGGGCCATTGTTGTTTTCGATCTTTATCAGTGACTTACCTCTTAGTTTACATCAAGCTACTATTACGATTGACTCCACAATCCATGCCTCTGCAGGTAAATATATGGATTTAAACTGGATTTTAAATGAGGAATTAGCAGTAATAGACACATGGATGACACGAAATAAATTAGTTTTGAATAAGAAAAAAACAAAATGTATTATTTTAGGATCTAAATATTCCTTAAAAGAAAACCCAAGGTTAGTGCTAATGGTTGGTGACACAAAAATAGAGCAAGTCACGGATGTTAATTTTTTGGGGGTAATAGTAGATAGCCAAATGTCATGGAATAATCATGTCGACCAGGTATTGATGAAAATGGGAAGAGGGATTGCTGTAGTTAGATACTGTAGGAAGTCTATGTCTAATCAACTGCTAAGGCAAGTAGTCCCATCTTTAGTATTGGCATATCTGGATTATGGTTCTGTAGTCTGGTCGAGTACATCCATGGGTAACTTGGCCAGATTACAGGTAGCTCAGAATAAAGCAGCTCGTCTGGCTTTGCAGTGTTCATATAGCACTAGTATAAGAGTAATGAATTCTCGTCTGGCTGTGCAGTGGTTAGAGCTGTTACCTTGCAGCAAGAAGGTCCTGGGTTCGCTTCCCGGCCTGGGATCTTTCTGCATGGAGTTTGCATGTTCTCCCTGTGCATGCATGGGTTCTCTCCGGGTACTCCGGCTTCCTCCCACAGTCCAAAAGCATGACTGTTAGGTTAATTGGTCTGTCCAAATTGTCCTTAGGTGTGAGTGTGTGTGCATGATTGTTTGTCCTGTGTGTCTCTGTGTTGCCCTGCGATGGACTGGCTCTCTGTCCATGGTGTACCCCGCCTGATTGCCCGCTGACCGCTGGAGATAGGCTGACTTAATTTAATATTTACACAACAAAATCCACACAAATGGTTTTTAGTTCAATACTTTATTAATTGGTGCAATTGAAAAGACATAAAATAAAAAAATCAAGTAAGAATACATTTGCATATTATATCATCAAAACCAAATATCCAAAGTGACGTAATGCTGAAGAATAAAAACAACTACTTTATTTTATTTTTTCAAACTGCAATGAGAAAAAAAGATGCACAGCTCTGAAGGCCACTAGTGTAAAGTTGTCCAAACTTTCCTCAAATGAAACAAAAACCTCCTCAACTCTCATGAATAATAATAATAAGTGTTGGAAAACTCACACAAAGCTGTCTGGAATATCGTTTTGTGTCTTAAAGGAGAAACGGCTTCATTAGGAGACCCCAGAAACTCATCGTTAGCATTTCTGTCTCAAACAGTCACGTCCTTCGATACGCCGATGACATATGGTTATTCTGAAGCTTCTGCTGAAGTAGGGAACAACAGAACTCTTCAACAGGAATTATTCTAATAACAAAAAACAAACAAAAAAGCTTTTCTGTCTTTAAACAACATTCCAGTAACTTCATTTAAAAGTGTGAATGTTTATTCATCTTCAGCCACACAAAAGTCACCAATAAAAAACGCATTTTAACGTTTTTAACCTCATTAAAGCTAATTTAGCAGATTGGAAATTTGTGACACGTTTTAGTCAACATTTATATAAAAAGGTTTTGGAGGTCTGACACAAACCACAGGTGTCCATCGTGCACCCCGTGGGTCATTCGTGGCCCTGGACTGCAGTTTAATGACGTCAGAATCCTCTCACCTGTACTCGTTGTTGATGAAGACTCTTTAAACATGTTTTATGTTCAGATTTTCACTGATGTGAGGCCAAACTTGGTCCTCTAGCAGGTTGTTGAGTCAGATTCACACTTGAAAAAATGTTATGAGATTTTTATTTATGTGAGGTCTGATAAAAAAAAAAATCCAGAGAAAATAAAATATTCTGAAATTAGAAAGTTTTGAGTCTTTTATTGATTAGTTTTATTTGTTGATTTAATTTACTAGAAATAATTATGTGACCATTTTGGCTCACGTCCTGAAAGCTTGAAACCATTGATCTAATCCCAACAAGAGGTTGGCCATTATGGCATCTACTACAGCAAACTCCACCAAGAGGATTTGTTATGTCAGGTTTTAACCTGGTCAAGTTGTTTTATTTGAATCTATAAATTCATTCAGAAATGCACAACTGTTTCAAATGCAGGTTGCTGACTGGAGGATGATGTCTTTTTAGACTTCTAATGACCCTGCTAACAGCCAACGTCACATGGACGTGCAGACCATGTCAATATTGAGTCTGTCGGTCCAGACCATGTCTGTAGGATGTCCAAACAAGGTCTTTGCACAATGGGGACATTTATCCAAACGTGGGTAATTTAACTCTTTAGTTGTCTTTAAATAATCAGACATTTTCCTGGATTTGGGTTTATAAACAACATGAAACTACACACTCTCCTCAGTAGGGTTTCAGGGAGCTGCTGTCTAACGCCATCAGTCCCCTGGTTAGAGACACGGGACATCATGGACAGGTGTCCAGTCCATCACAGGGACACACAGAAAAACCCGGTCCCAGTAGAAAGGCGCTGCTATCCACTCAGTCTTTAAACTAAAATGTTCAAAACCTTTTTCCTTTAAATGGTAAATAATTGTAGTAGCAGAGAGCAGAGCCCACCTAAAGACCACAGATCAGTTTATTCTGCATGTTTTTTGTTGCCCAAGCTCATAAATCAGATGTTAATATAAACATCCTCCAGAAGGTTGTGACTGTTTGACAAAAACACGTCTGTCAGGAGAATCCAGCCGTCTGCGCAGATATGACCGACAGCTTTGTGCTGCAGCGATAAAAGCACGACTTAAAGGAACTGTACTGGAAAAGGCCAAGGCACAAATAATCGGTAGCAATCAAAATGTCCGTAACATTACAGGTAATGTATGCACGATGCGCCCATCAGTGCATTGCTTGGTAGCCGTAACAGTGAAAACAACAACTCATTAAAGGAAAATAAAGCAAGCTATATTGCCTTCTTAACTACATGGATGCCATAAAGTGCTCCTTTTCATTCAGGAATAGTTCACATACAGACAAGTTCACACACAGGAAATTAAACACACATGATGGAAGCTTGCACACGTTTGTTTGAGAAATTTCAGATTATGGCTTTGAGATTAAAACACCCCTGATCAGATTAGTGATGAAACAGCTGTTGGAATCTGATTGGCTGCTAGGTAAACATGTGTTTCCTATTTTTTCTAAAGAGATTATATAGAATCAAGCTTGGTACCAGTTCAGTCCAAACAACATACTGGAATCATCCTTCTGCAGAATGTTACAGGTAAATGGAAACAGACGTAGATTAGTCCCACATAATCTAGATGAATCAAATTTAACAAAGATGGTTAAAACTATGCAAACATATTTTTTAAGTGACGGTGTATGTTCCCTGGCGATAGGGGGCAGTACATACCTAAACCATAGCAAGCAAGCAGTTTTTTTTTTTTTTGTTGTTGGAGTAAGACCTTACCAGCGGATGACCGTTAGGGTCACTAATCCCTGGGAGCACAGCCTCCAGCAAAATGACACACATCAGACTCCCTCTCATCAGTGGCAATGAGTGAAAAGGTAAATGTGCAAAACAATGTTTTTGAATGGTGAAAGTTTTGTAACCCATTGTTATAAATCAGTAAATGCCTTTTGTCCTCACGGGTTCTCGTAGAAGAAAACATGGCATCACTCAAAGTCTTATACTCATTCTCACGTATTTTAGACCTGATTTTTATGGGTATTTGTTATAAAGCTGCCAATATTTTTCAACCACTGGGCATACTTTAATTTATTTTCAACAACATTCTGATGGATATTTCCAGACATTAATGGTAAAAACTACACATTGCCTCTTTAAAGAATCCTGTCAGCACTGCAGAGCTAAAGCACCCTAAAGTGCTATACCACTCATGGCCAATAGGGGCTGGATGCTGATGGCATAAATCAGTTTACTGGTCTGTGGTGCTCATCAGTTACAAACATCTGGGTTGTTCTTGAGCAGGTGTAAGGGTAAGCAGCAGCACGTAAGAACCAGTCCAGTTTTCAAACCCCAAAGAACAAAGTTTAGCTTAAATCTCACCAGGGGGACCGCTGAAGGCTTTTGGAGATCCAAAGTGTTGCCAAACATTTGCTAGGTAGTTAATTCAGGTGACACTTTATACAGCGCAACCAAATGGATGCAGCTCACTTAAACACAAACAAGCAAGGGAGTTTTCAAATCACAAGAATAAAGAACACAAACGTGTAGAAATTTAAAGTCTTGACATGACTCAGCGGGATTCCAATAAAGAATTTGCATATTTTCTCACTGCTTAGTGTCTCCAACTGGTTTCCAACAGTCTTTGCCCAGTAAGATCCCAACTTAAGCCTTTTATTTATACGCTTTAATGTTTATTTTAGATTTACTAAACCAACAAAAACTCAAAAACCCTTTGCAGCTTTTCAGCTTCTTGTTTGGACACCAACTGGACATCAGATCGCTTCTAGAGGTGGAAATCCAGCTAATTTATCTTTCTTCTTTTCTACCGAGTTCCTCAGGCTGGAATAATAACTTGTGTTTCTTATGAATTGAGAGTACAACAGCAGATGTTAGGGAAAGACAAATAGGAATACATTATGTTACCACAATAACTTTAACTTTGTAGTCATTTCTAATCTCCATCAAAGTTCATCATTAGTTTATGTAAAATTTGATCATAAAAGGGATGAACTTCTGACAGGTGATAATTTGATAAAGTGGTGGAAAATTTTCATATGAAATCTCAACTCGATGACAATTGCATAAAAATGTGATGAAAAACTCATAAAATCAGGCGGTTGCGTCACAAATGATCTTTTACAAAAGTTATGTGGATAACATTAAAGTGGCACTTTTTATAGTTAAAAGTAACACCAGCACTCATTGTCAAAGTTTAAGTAAATAAGATTGTGTTTTCATCTGAAAAAGCTGTCGAGTTTCAAAGCAAATATTAAACATAAGATCTTCTGACATCTGACTGATAGTTTAGATCTGAGCTCATTTCTGATTCACCAGGATGTAAGTTTAAAGTTAACTATGAGAAATAATAACAACATCTAAAGATTTGATCTCAGTTACATAAATTTCAGAGCTACATTATAAAAAACTGAAGCCCCGCCTACAACGCTCAAAACTAATTTATTTCTCTGTTTGAGAAAAATCCTAATCCAGATTATTCCAGGAATATGCCCATACAAACAGCATATTTGAATATAGAGGAACTTTGTTTGGTTAGCTAAAGATTCTCCCAGAACTAAAAAATACAAAACAATAAAATGTCTCCATGTTTCCAGTGCACCCTCAAAGTGCTGAGTCATTGTTTGTAAAAGACTCCACATTTTTACCATGTCAGCCTAAAAAAACCTCTACTTTGGTAAAGTTCTTTTTTAACACATCATGTGACCAAGAGGCCTCAAAATCTGTGATGTAGGCGGAGCCTAAATCTCTTAAATTTACATTCCTGAGAAATGTTACTTTAAGCTGGAAAATATTTGAATTTTTAAATTAAAACTGTTTTGCTAGAATCACTTTTTCCTCCCAGTATACGCAAGTGTTGTGGAAGACAATTTGTTTAAATGTTTACAAAACAATATTTCATATTAACAGTGATCTGCCTTGTAAATATACTAATGTTTCGATTCATTATTTCCAGATTTGCTGATAAATGAAGATCATTACATTTAGAATGAAAGCTGCAATAGTGTTACATTTTAAATCAAAGAAATCTAATTGGCATGTGCAGATAAAAAACATTTCTTTTAAATGAAAGCTGAAGTGCAAGGCATCAAAACATAAATAAACAGACAACTGAGCAGTGAAAACCAAAACATTTGACATTTGAATGCATGAAACACATTAAAATTCATCATTTAATGACATATTACAAACTTCACACCTCTGGAATCACGTTGAGTCTGATTTTAAAAAACAATTCAAAAGAACCAGAAACCTTCAAAGTTCACACGTTTCTTTTTTTAAAAGGAGAAAACAGTTGACATTCATTAATACGGTGTGTTGCGTCAGGCATGTGGTGAAATGATGTGGCTGAAACACTAAATAAAGAACTACATGAAGTCGTTCTACTTGATGTTTCTTGCTTCAGAGGCACAAAGAATAAATTCCTACAGGGATGTTTGACTGATCTGATTGTTTGATGTTGTGAAACGTAATGCTGCACTGCAATGCCTTTAACATTATTTATATATGTGAGCCGCTTTAGAAAATAGCTATTCATCAAGGTAATACATAGGTTCGTTTTGGTGACTATGACTGCATTGAATTCCACACCAGGCTTGAATGCAGCTGTAGAGTTGTACTATATCAATAAAAATAACCGAATCACTTTTATTATTATATTTTATAAACATTTTAGCTGTAGAAAAACAGCCAGAGAGTTCTCAGTTCAAAAAAATAATGAAGAAATTCTCACGGAGGAATCGAGCTAACGGTTAAAGTGGAATCCAGCTAACGGTTAAAGTGTGTCAGTATCTGAGCGTTATATCAAACATGTTTACAGCTCATTACCATTGGATATAATTTGTTTACATTATTTTTAGGTCTTTCCATTGCTATGCTAAATGTGTGTGCAATGGTGGCTAAACGTATCCTGGTGAGTCATGGTTTCCTGGAGGATATTCCCAAAAAACTCTTACAGTAAATCAAATAAATTCATTAGTAAAGTAAAGGTAAATGTGTTGTTTTCTGGGGGGCGAATATATTTTTTCTGCCTCGGTGCAGGCTGTTAGCTAAACAACACCAACATTATTTGGTTGAGAACATAAACAAACAGCAGCTTGAACAACTGGGAAAGGTTTGACTGAATAGTTTTAGACACTGCTTCGTTTTACCGCCAAGTCAGTTTTTAGCTTGATTTTTCGTAACAATTTCTACAAGTTGGATTACTCTGACTACTTTTTACTGCAGGAAGCTCAGTTACACGTGTTAACTTACTTTATTAAATATCAATCTAAGAATTATTAGCTAACGCCTAATGAAACTTTATGTAAATTTACCTCCAACATATTTCAAGCCCCATTTACTTTACAGAATTTATCCATCTATAAAAAATAGTTCATTCCACATTGAAAAACTCCTACAAACTGCCACTAGGTGGCGAGAGCATCCACATGCATATATCATATCAAAATACAGAGAAAGAAGATTCCTAATTTAGCTAATTTCGATTATTATAAACATTTTACAAATTTCTCTCAGTTTTTAACCTTTTCTGCACAAAATCTAAATTTTATGTTAACAGAATTAAGATAAAGGGATACTAAAGAGTAATCAAATTTAGCTTAATTGTTGTAATTTTAGGGAACAGCGTAATAATCGTCATGCCAAGAATAGACTATGTCAAAAACATCTAAATATCCACTTTAAACGTCTTTTAAAAATATCAGTATTTTTATCACAAAATCTCAAATTTTTATTTTGAAACAGAAACGTCTCTGGAGTAACTGGAGTTGCGTAGACATGGTTTAATTACAGCACAGGCTTCCTGCTAATAACTCAATGTCTTTCGACAGAAATAAGTGATGGTAAATACTGTACCATTATCTGAAGTGCGGTATGGACGCCTCTCTGTAAAAGCTCCTGTTAAGGTGCTTCAACATGCTGTAACTGTGTGATATTAGTATTACTATATATTTATCACTTATTACATTCAATACCAGGGTGGGTCTAAATCTAGAAGTAGTAAAAGTAGTTTAGGCTTAAACGTGATCAGTAAAGCTTCATAATTCAAGTAGGAGTCAAGTAGGTTTGATTATTTTAAATAAAGTCCATATCTTTGAATTAACAAGAGAAAAGTCTGCAAACCAGTATGTTACCAGTACTCCCAGTATATACCATGTTCATTTTTATAACCGGATAGTTAAACCACCCAGAGTGCAGTATTGAACAATAATGTTTAGGCAGCTTTTATTAAATAATATTTAAAGTTCATATAAGTTTTGTTGTAATGTAGTAAAGGTAACTAACACTCATAGTAAACCACTGAGTGATTTTAATAGGATCCTTTAAAAGTTTAAAATTAGTAAATTGTGGCTAAATATTCCTTTATTTTACCATTTAATAAGAATATTGGTCAATAGAAAAAATAATCTAATCGTGGATTTTAACTGAAGATTAGAGACATGCAGGCAGTTTAATATCCCTGAATGTGTGTGTGTGCCACCAAAGCAGCAGTGTTTCAAATCTAAGTCTGTGTTTAGTCGAGTGGTTTTAGAGCACAGTAATGTGAGACCAGCAGGTCACATAACCTGCTTTTTCGGATTATAACAGACAACAGTAAAACAAATAAAAAAACATAAAGGAGAATGATGCAAAAGTCAGAAACAAACCAGGATTTTGTTTTATAAGTTAACACACACACACGCACATACTCTCTCTCAGAGACCAACACAACAAAAGAACAGGAGACTTTTGGTTCCAGTTTCACCATCTAATCGTCGCCCCTAGAAAGGTGCATCATCATGCAACCATGCAAAAACAATGAAGATGTATTCGTATAAAAAATTGGTGTTACAAAATGGCATAGCAGGTATATGTATCCATTCATTCTTTTTCCTTCTCCTGATATCCTGAAATTTGCGTGTCTACACTAAAATCGCATGCGTTCCATGCAGTGCGGTTGGCTTTGCAGCAGTAAAGCTTTCAAGTGTGTGTATGTAGAATAAGATTTTTTAAATTCTGCTAAGGTTTTGACAAGAGTGCACTGTACAGAGTTTGTCTTTACAAACTGCTTTCCCTTTTTTCATATCTTTTTTTTTTCTTCCAGTGGCCTTGGTGCCATGGCTGTCTGGACCATGGTGGTCTGTGAAGGACCCCCGCACCCCCCCACCCCCACCCCCCAGGACCGTGTAGCATGGAGGCAGATAAAACACGCCTTCAGCCCAAAGGTGTGGTTTCCACCTACAGGTTTGGGTTTACAGGTACGGTCTGGATTTAAGGTCTCAAAGGCGTGAAGGCTGACACCTCTCAGGGCGGGGTGTTCCACTCAGCATCTCCAAAGCCCTCCCCAGTGGAGGAAAGAGGCATTGTTCCCCCACTGGGCGTGAAGGGGTCTGTGTCTGTGTCCGTCTCCCCCTCAGCCAGGTAACTGGGCCTGGGTCTTGTCCAACTGGCCTCCCCAGTCGCCATCCCGGCCTCCATCCCTCCTCCCCCTTCCTGTTCCCCAGAGATGCTGAAGCCGCTGGGCGAGCGCTCTAGCTCCTCGTGGTTCACTGACAGCATCGAAAGCGGTGAGTCACCCCCCCGACACCCTGTGGTCCTGCATGGCCCCGCTGACAAGTCCTGCAAGGAGCTGATGGGCAACACCGTTGGACGCTCCGTGTAGGTGGTAATGGCCTCCAGAGGACGGAGTCCTCCGACCGACCCCATCCCCGTTCTGCCCCCCCGTCCTCTGCCACAGGTTGGTTTCATCTTGCTGACAGGCCCCTGGTACGACAAGTGTGGGAACACCTCAGAGTAGTTGAGGAAAACCCGTCTGATCTCACCGTTCACAGAGGAATCGCAGGTCTCCAGGGTCATGTGGGCAGCGCCAGCCGAGTCCACCTGCAGGTGCTCGGTGTGTTGGATGTGCATGTCTACCAGAAAGTCCAACTTCTTCTCCATGTCTTCCACCTGAGACAGAGACACAGTCACACATACAGAACAGCTTTTTAATGAGAATTTGGGGAATCTTTTTTGGCTATGAAAAAAAAAATTAGGGAATCACATCTATTCCATGATTTTAGTCTTTTCTAAAGCTTTAAACTTGTTCTTGGTGAGTATTTTAATTTGGTAGGAAGCATTTCCCCATCATTCAAAATAACATAGCCCGAGAATTTAAAGATTCCATGTCATGCTATTGTAAACCTTGGAGAGAAAAGGTAGGCATAAAATATCACTGCTGAGATGTCTTTTATCTTAAATATGAGTTATTTTCATCACCCTGCATTCATAATCAGAAATGAAACGGTTCATTTCAATGAAGCTCCGCCCACACCCACTCCAACAAAATGCACCTACAATAGTGTCTTAGGCCAGCCTGCTGTTGTTTTGGCCTTGGTGGTTCAGTGGTTAAACTGATTGCTTTTCACCTTGTTTTGCCATGTTGTCGGCAGTAATTTATTTAGCCAGCCATTTTTATATGTTAGCTTTATTATTTTCTGCTACACATTTAGAGTCTAAACATCTTTGAAATTGTTCGTTTCCAAGCAGCATTTTAGTTGATTTACTCTGCTGATCTCACATGGACTCACACTGGCTAAATAAACAAAGTAAAAAAAAAAAAGTTTAGTCCTTACTTTTAAAGAGTTAACCAATAAATGGTTGAAAACATCATACTGGCAAGTGAAGCTAAAAGAAGAAGAAAAACATTACTGCTGTGACCAGGAAGCAAAACCTGCACAAAACCACATGCCAGTCTAGTACTCTAACCACCAACCAGGCGCGCAGATAGGGTGGGGGACGGGGGGGATCTGTCCCCCCCCCCAGATTCAGATCGACCCCGATCCGTCCCCCACACCAAGGCCAGAAAGAAAACAAAATTGGAGGTTAAGCACTTGAAGCTCCTTTTTCCGGTTACATTGAATGCAGCATGATGTAAACACCGACTCCAGAGGCGCCAAAGTGGTTGCTGCTAGGATTCAGGATGAAGCGAAAAAGTCAAGCAACGATTACTGCGTATTTAAAAAAGACCAACAGTGTAAGTAGGCTGGATCGATCTGTTTGTTTATGCATGTTATCTCTATTAAGGTAGCGCGACTCGGGTTGCGAATGACCACAGTCACCAGTTCTTGCCATGTGTCTTGCCCATGTATGTCTGATCTCTGAATTGTGTGTACTGAAACTCTAATTTCCCTCTGGGATTAATAAAGTATTGATTGATTGATTGATTGATTGATTGGTTGACTGATTGATTGATGTTGGTTATAGTTTTTGTACATTGTTGTCAGTGTTGGGACTTATTCGTTATGTGCCAAAGCCTCATTGCTGACTTTAACAAGTCTCATCTACAAATATGATCCCTCATGAAGTTACTACTTTACACCAGAAGATAGTGGAGATGTGGAACCTTCAGGCTGAGCAAAGTTTGGGAGTTTTTAGAGTTTGAAAATCGCCTTCCGCTGAGAGGCTCCCAGTCGGGGAGAGGAGAAGATGCGCGCAACTTGAAGAGCGCAAATATTAGATAAAACATATAATTGCCAGCAGGTCTGGTCTTTGTTGACTGATCACTTTGTCTGATAATGACTGACTCTGATTATGAAGCAGAATATTGACTTTGATGAAGAAATTCACTTATCCAGCTGGGAAGATTGACGCTGCTGCAGCATCAGACAGCTGGTGCTGCACGAGAGGTGTGTGGAGTTTACAAGCTCCAAACGATGGGTTTGTTGTTGGTTTAACCTTCTCTGGGACATGATGGATGTAGAAATGATGGTAAAAACACCGCTAATGTGATAGACGTAGCAACAATGTAAAAAAAAAAAAAGCTGTAAAAAGTGGCAGATGCCGATGCGTTAGATATGGAAGTCAAAGTGTGTCGCATAATCATAAAAAAAGTTAAATATAAAATTTTAAAAGAACTTTATATATTTATATATAAATTAAAACTTTCCAAATGCAACAAAAATGTCTAAATAACATCAAAATACGAAGGAACATCTGTTGGTCAGGCTGAAAAGTTTGGGAACTACTGCTCTAAGTGATAAATGAATATCGTTTGTTTTTAATATATTTTATGTGCAGTTTTTTAGGGCTTTTATGTTTTCTGTAAAGATTGGTACACTGAAAATAATTTAATGTTTAGCATAAAGCATGAGGTTTTGGTTAGTAATTGATTGGGAGAATAACAAATGACTGAATTAAATAGTGGGGCGCCTCTGTCAGTTCGCCCCAGGGCAGCTGTGGCTACATCGTAGCTTATCACCATCAGTGAGTGAATGTGTGATTGAATGGATGAATGATACACTGTAGTGTAAAGCGCTTTGGAGTCCTTACTCTGAGAGGCGCTATACAAGTGCGGATCATTTATAGTGTTGATCAGGCAGAGCTTTGTTGGCAGCGTTCCACTGCATAATGGCTTCAAACACATATATAAAAGTGTTAGTTTTTACGTAAACCGTTGGATGAAATTACACAAACTGACTGAGCTCTAGTTAAGGCTCTTGCAATAGTTTGTGTGTGTGTGTGTGTGTGTGTGTGTGTGTGTGTGTGTGTGTTTATGTGTGTGTGTGTGTGTGTGTGTGTGTGTGTGTGTTTGGGGGAGGGTATATTGGAACTTTGTCCCCCCACTTTGAAACTCCTATCTGCGCCCCTGCCACCGACTATTAAGTCTCCTAAGATACATATCCTGTACTGGCCAGGGGGAGGCAGGTTTCAGATCAAGAGACAAGCTTTTGGGAGAGGAGCAGGGCCTGATGATGCTTTACATGATTTTCAAAGTAAATTGGAAAATTTGCAGCTGAAACAGAAAAAAATGCATGAATGCAGCCAAAAAAATTTTTTTCATCTCTAAAATAAATCAATCTCTAAAAAGTGGATTTTCCAGGCTATGGCCCCTTTAGTGTTTAAATATAGAAATCCTGAAGTCAGACTTTCCCCAGCTCTAACCGGAGAGTACATCCCATTTCCTGTCAGGAAAATTTTCATTTTTTTCCCTCAGTCGAATGCTAAATAGAGATTCTACAAAAACTTGAACATCATACAAGTACTGAAACAGAGCCAAGGTAAGAATAGGATGCATTTATGGTTCCTGACAACATTCTGTCGTCCTTCTGGGAGGCATCCTCTTGGTTTGGACCAGAATATTTTTTGTCATTCTCAAGTGCACCAAACCTTTTTTGGTGTAAGTAGTTCTATTTTTTGCTCTATTTTTTTACTATGACTATGCTTATATACTTAAATGCATCTGTTTGCTCCTGATTCTAATAAAGCCCAAGTCCTAATCAAAACTGATGTTAAAGCCATTTCAAACGAGCTGTCGCCATCTTGTTCCACTCTGTTGCATCATCCCACCCACCAGATGAATAGAGGGTCCTGATTAGCCCACTAAGTGGATAGAGTGCTGTGATTGGTCCACAGTGGTGAGCCACAATGGGTTTGAATCCCTTATAGAGAGCTGTGAGTGGCCAGTCGGAATGCTGCTAGGGGCTGTGAAGGTTCCAATGGAGGAGGGTTCCTAGCCCAAACTTTGCAAAGCAAGAATTTAGTTTAGTTCACTAGGCTACCTTCGACCACCACCAGCAGGCAAAGTGGGTTAAGTGTCTTGTCCAAGGCCATAACAACTAGTGTGTTGATATAAACTCAATGAGTTCCCTTTGTTACTGATCCTCACCTGTCTCTCCACCCTGACAAATCTACCCATCATGCTTTGGTCTTCAGCATCCGGCATGGAGGCGGCTTTAGCTATGTAGGACTCATGCCTGGAGTAAAATGACACAGAGAAGAAAACTGCAAAGATGTTCTTTTAGAATCAAGTAGTCATTAACGGATGCAAAAGACACATCGGACTGTTTTGCATTAAATACAATCTTCAGAATGACTACATTGACATATGACCATCATGACCGTACCTGGGAGACTGACTGGACGGGTACGTAAAGGGAGGCTTCTGGGTCTTCTTATTTTTCGGGGTGAGGAGAGGTCCAGGGGCAAGAATCATGTCGATCCTTTGAAGAACACAAACTGGTTGAGTGAGTACAATGCAAAGGCAACATTAGCTAAACCTTAAGGTGGTGTTAACCTTGTCTGGAGGTATTTAATTCTGCAGAGCATGTCCAGGTGTCCAGCAGAGTACTGCTCAATCACATCTTTGACATCATAAGGCCTCAGAGTTTCCTTAAACCGCTTCTTGTTCAAGAGGAACTGTAAGATCCTGTGTGTGGAACAATATGTAAAAACACAGTTTGATTACTTTTGTAGATTTAACCATTTAAATTTCCTGGAAACTACCCTCTCATACCCCCGACATTTACAGAAAAGCAGCTGAAGTATTCGTACATGCACTATTGGCTGCATAGAACAAAACAGTTATTAATCACTCAGAATTACTCAGACTGTTAAACAGATGACAAACTAACCAATCCATTATCACCACCTACTGGACATGGAGTATAACTACAGATCTATGGGTACATCAAGGACACCAAGGAACAGTGTATAGTTAAAAGTCTTTCTGAATAATTGAATCTTTGTCTACTTAGGAGATAAAAAATAGCTGTTTCTGGTTGTCTAACTGGAGTGAAAGGTCAAGGAGATGAGTCAAAGATGATACCAAGGTCTCTGAAACCCAGAAAAAGAAGCCCAGAGTATCAAGACGAAGCTTAATTTCATATTTGGCTGTCAAGGGAGATAGTTTCAGCTGCAGGTCACAAAGCCAGAGTATGATGGTGGTTAACATTTAATCAAAGACAAAAATAAAAAATAAAAACCAACAACAATAGAATTGAATATAATCAGCATCACTTGATAAGAAACGCCAGGAAATCATCCCCAGAGAGGAAATAGAGGAGAAAAGGTCCCTAGACTGAACCCTGTGGTACCCCATCTGGTTTTCAAAAAGATTCTACCGGAAGGTTGAAAAGCCAGACCGGAGTGTGGTTGTTGGTACCAAAGGCAGATGTTAGGCCAGCTGACATCACGGAGACCTTGAGTTCTGTTGATTCCAAAAAGGGACCTGAAATCTGTCAGGAGCTCATCCAGTCATATGGTCCATGAGCAGCTCACCCTGTTACAGAGAACAGGAACTTGCTGAAGTTCCTGAACATGTCATGTTTCAACCTTCTTATCCGTTTTTCTGGTCCTAAAGGCTGCACAAGGGATCAAACATAGTTACTGACCCTATAAAGGGATAAGGGTTGATGCTGCTCTTTACCAAAGACTGACTGTAGTGATAGCTTAGTGTTATTGTCACAGTTCCATGGCTAATCCACGAGCTTGCTTTCCAATGTATTCACTCATGTCGTGTATTCACTCATGATGCACAAATTCCTTTAAACGGAGCAGCCACCCATGTCCAATCCAGTGTAAGACTTGAACATAAAGGAGCTAATCCTTATCCCAGCGCAGCCCAGAGGAAGTACAGGCCGGGACTTTGACTCTTTACAGGCTCCAGATCAAACTTTATCAGTTCTTGGACAAGCTCTTAACACTGAAGAGCTCCCGCTGCCTATGTTTGGCAAACATAGATTTAACGGCCGCAGCACGAGTCCCAGCGTTTGGCAGAAAGTCTTGGGTCCTGAAACCAAAACCCTTCAGATCTGAGAATCCTTTTCAGGGACCATTCAGCCCAGACATAATGGAGAGGAGGGAAGAAGGACTTTCACAGGGTTAATCACTCATCTCATGGGCCCTCATGCAAGATTGAATTCCTGCATGATGTCAGCTGTGTGGCCTATGGATCTACCTCCACACTGTTAGCCTGAGTGACCTGGTTTACACCGCTCCTGCTGACACCTCCAGCTTTGAGAAGTCAGGTCATGTTGAGGGCACAAACTGAATCAAACTGTAGCATCAATTAGTGAAAACAAAATAACTCAAAGGTGCCATTAAAGCTTTGGCTTTCACTTCCTGTCCATATAAAAAAACTGTTTCCATGTGAAGAGTATTCATCTTATCCAGATAATTTAGAATATCATTGATAAGTGCTGCAGGGTTAGGTACACATTAAGACGTGATTTGATTCTGGGTTATATTTGAAGGTTGATTTCAGAGAAATGTGGTTAAATTGAGTTTTTTTTTTTCAGCAGTACTTCAGTTGGTCTGAAGAGGAACAGACCAGACACCAGTTTGGGTTTCAGCTTGCAGCAGGATCCAAAGGAAATATTCTCAAACAACTCACTCAGTTGCATGAATGTCAGAAACAGAATTAATCAACAATTCTGTGTAGGTCTTTCTAGGATTATTTGAAGCTCTGCTTCCTAAATCCACTTTAATCCATTTTCCTGATCAGAAGTCATGAAACACCAATAGGAGGTTTTTAGATAATAATTAAAATTTATTGCGAAACACATTTTTAGCACATTTGCTGCTGAGGCGGTCTCTTCCTTATTAGGTAAATGACTGGAAACTACTGGAGAAAAGGGAGAGAATATAAGGAAAAAATGAAAAACAATGTGGAGAACGAGGCCAAAAATGAGCAGAAGAAAGGGAGACATTGCCTAAACGGCTGAATTTTTCTTTTTTTCGAGACAGCTTGAAGAACATGGCTGACCTGACTGCCCTGATGACCAGTTTCAGCGTTGGGATCATCTCCTCCAGGAGGATATCGGCTGGGAAGCCCCGCTCCTCTAAGGCTGGGTCTGTTAATGCTGCAGCATCTGACACCAAAGCACAAGAAAACCAGCGTTTGTGTGTTTGTTTGTTTGTTTGTTTTTTTGTTTGTTTGTTTGTGTAACAACCAACCACTTTGGGTTTGGATTCCTACCTTCGGAGCTTTGTCGGAGGGAGTAGGCCTTCATTCGGAAGGCCGTGCGGAAGCGTTCCCGGTTACTGAAGCCAGCCGGTTTGGAGTCCTTGGAGGGGCTTTCCTCGGTAGTCTCGGCGTTACCTACGGGCTTCCTGCTCATCCCTACAGACGGTCTCACGTTGGACTGACGAACGCGCTCCAGCAAACTGACTTTCTGACTGAAGGAGGACAGAAACAAAAAAACACGGAGGATGAAACAACTTCATACTTAATCATAAACACTTTTATAAACCACGCTACTGAACATGAATTATCCTGGTTTCTCTACCTGTGCTAGAAACCAGATCACCCAAAGACCTGAGGAACAATGTGTTTTAGTTTCTTTGGTTTACTCTTTCAGAGAGACATGCTGTCTCAACATGTCACCGCTGCTCATCGGGCCAAAGGAAGTGTCAAAGAGCGGAAGGAGATTGCTCGTCTTCATTGTCCAACGGCTGACAATGTTTGGCAGCACAAAGATGGAGCTCCCGGGGTAAGATAAGACTCCCGTGTGCCTTGGAGGAGGCAGAGAGTAGGGGTAACTGGAGCCGACATCAGCCTAAACAAGGCCTCTGAAACGTGGGGAGTTCTCAGCGACTTTGCTCCCACAGCAGAGACACAATATGAGCCTCTATGTGGCCCGGAGGCAGAAAAAGGACGGCCGATTACGGCGCTGAGAGGCCGCAGAATGGGAGGCTCTAAAGCACTTTCTGACTGCTCCTCTGCAAAAGCAGAAAATGAGATGTAATTATCCCGCACATCTCTGTAAACGAGGCTACACAACAGGCAAAAATAATGCACCTTATCTCCCTCAGCTCAGATATTCACATTTCTGTTTACTGGCTCTGCAAAACGCTGCAGTTAATCGGCTGAATACGGGTCTAAGAGTGCACAGTTTGCATCCAAATTATACTGTGGTGGATTGGGACATTCCTTAATGGGTGCGATGCTTTAAAGTACCAACAAAAAATAAATATAAACAAACTAGAACAGCTTAAACTGAGCTGCACCTCCTAATATATCCTCACAACAGCAGCAGATGGAAGATAGCTTCCCTCTGAGTTGTTCTGAAAAGTCCGGAGATTAGTTATGAAAACACTCTGATAAAAGTCTGGTTTCACACACACACACACACACACACACACACACACACACACACACACACACACACACACACACACACACACACACACACACACACACACACACACACACCAGTTACAAATTGTGAAGGGGAACGATAATTTTCACAAATGGCAAGAACAAAAAATGAACTGAGAACAACACAAGCACATTGTGCCCAGGGGCCCCTGCAATGATAATCCGGTCCTGCATCTGAGGCTTTTAAATTTGACGTGTTTGTTGGTTATTTTCACACATTTGATCCTCCAGCCTCTGAAGGCTCCTCTGATATGAACGTCTCTACCAACGTGAATCGGAGCTCCTGTTGCTGCTTTTAACCACAGCAAGTAGAAAAGTGGAGACAGAACAATCCTCCATAACGAGTCTGACCTCTGCAGCAGGTTGACTAAAAGCAGTTTGCAGAGGAAGAGCTGCAGCTAAACCCGTCTTTATGTTACTTTTATTTCAGGTTATTAAATGTCAGACGTGTACGATAATGTTAGCTTAAATGCAAACGTGAATCTGTGTGAAAAACGAACTTTGGTTCCTGATGAAACTCGAACCCGCTTCAGTCGGAGCGTCTCTACCAGCAGAATCATCCGCCTTGTCGTTCTGCTTCGCCTCAAATCGATTTTCCTCAGAGCAGACGACGTTAAAAGTCATAAATGTGATTGATGTGAAGATGATGAGATCAATAGACACCAAAATATGACCAAACCACGAGTCAAAGTCCAACAACTTCAGGAGCTCATTCAAGTTGCTCCGTTTAATAGAGAAAATCCATCAGACATAATTACTGGATCTAAAATGTCGTTCATAATTTAATGACTAATGGACTCACTAATCACCCCCTCACTCCAGACTGCGAGGGCGTTCAAAACCAAGACTCATGTTTTCACCCAGAGATTTATCCCACCCCAGATTAATACCAGCAGCTATTTAAAGGCATATTCTAGGAAATGTTCCTCAATCTCTGTGGGTCACAGAGTTTAATAAAACACCACCAGGAATCAGGTCTGTGTAACCTACCTCACCATGGCCTCCAGGGTGTCCTTCCTTTGATGTGCAGAAAAAACACAAAAAGGTCATTTAGTTACACAAAAAGGCTCAAATCTCTTTTAATTAGATGGAAAATACTTGAAGGACGCATCCGTTTTTCCACTGATGCCTATTTTAGATCCTAAATCCTGAAGCTTCACAAAACCAAAAATGATTCAACAAAAGCAGAAAAATGATTTTACAAAAATCAGCTCCTTTGATCATCTTTCACCCTGTCAGTGATTTTATGGATGATTTTTAAATTAGAAGTGTCATAAAGAGCTCACAGGACTTATTCTAAATAAAAGGATGATTTAAACATCTTTGGTGTGTTCTTGCTGTGTTGAAGTTCTTATTCCATCTTTTAGTTCTTTTTAAAACACAGAAAGGTTTTATTTACCTGCAACGTTTCGCTTGCGGCTGCAAACTTCGTCAGGCTGACACAAATGAAACGTTGCAGGTAAATAAAACCTTTCTGTGTTTTAAAAAGAACTAAAAGATGGAATTAAAATGACGATTTATTATTTACAAATTCTGCCCAACAGCTGAGTGGGGTTTTACCTTCACAGCTACGATTTTTACTTCATGTTTTATGATTTGTTCATCTTCTCTAAACGTTTCAAATTTTCTGCAAACAGGGAAAACTTTAATATTGGTAACTTAAACCCGATGAGACCCTCGCTGCTGTTCCACTTACAGTTTTGTCTCAGATCCCTCTGGAGTGTGAGGTCCAGCTCCCATAAAGCTACAAAACCCAACAGACACACAGATCCCGTTTTTAGTCCGTGGATCTTAATTTACCTGAAACAGGGAAGAGAGATGATGGTTTCATAAAACCTCCATGTGGCAATAAGGTCGTCCCTGATTGGATTGGTGGAATAATATCGCCAGGCAGACTAGAAATAAATAAAACAAATAAGTATGAACAATGAGACTTCAGTTGCTTTTCCTTTTATGTCAGCTGGGAAGTCCAGATTCCACCCAGAAAGCAAAGCCCTGCAGGACTGAAACACGCCACAGGTATGATGATGATGAAGATGATGGAGATGGCAACACACCTGGATGAGCCCGGCTGCTGGATGTCTGCGCTTCTCAAAGTGCTTCTGTCTGTGTTGCTCCTGGACCTTCAGAGCCAAACCAGAACCCAGAATCCCCTGCAGCCAAAAACCAAACCAACAGTTTCAGTCTGTGGGTTCTGGATCGGACTCGGAACACCTGGATTTCCTCACACATCAAAGCAAGCTTCGGCTCCTGGTGTCAGGTGTTTGGGTTTGCTTTCTCCTGCTTCAGAGCAAAAGTGTTGATGAGAAACAAACTAAACCATAGTGGAGTATGAGTCCCGATCCAATCCATCAGGGAATTTTTCATCAACTGGTTTCAGATCGACACTCATCTCCATACAATAATATCCCCTCATCAGTAGCAGGAGGCGGGCTCAAGCAGAGCAACAACCAATGAAAATGCTGAGCCAGGCTTAAAATCTCGTAGTTAGTTTCACTTTCACTCTGAACTCGTTAAGGTGGATCAGAATACCACAGAGCTGCTTTAAATCAGTTAATAAACACTGTTTATAAACATTGTTGTGTCTTTTAACATCAGCTGCTGTGGTTTACACATCCTGGTTTGTTTAGCTGTGATCAATAAAAACACACCAGAGTTTATATATCAGACGGGTGATTTTATTAAGGAACGAGCAGACAAACTGTGATCTGTGTAGATAAACTGTCTCCCTACACAGTGATCCTGTACAGAAACTCACATGAACTGGTTTGGAAGAGTTTTACGTCTTTTGGGTTTAAATCATGTGGATCTAGTCTGGAAATAATAAAGATGATCAGATCAGTATCAACAGACCTGGACGGCCAACAGAAGGAATCCTGAATCCTTACAGAGCTTATTAACGTTACCTCCAGCAGAGTTAAATCCATCAATAATGACAATTCTGCTGTTTATTAATTTCATTTGATGGTGGGAAAACTCACTGCAGGCAAAGCAAAGAAGGACACTCCGATCAGAGCGAAGGTACCGGCTAACAGCCTCCCAGCCCAGGTCTTTGGGGTTTTGTCTCCGTACCCGATGGTGGTCAGTGTGATCTGCGGAGGAGACAAATATGGAGAGTTTCAGCGCAAACATTTTCTTAGAGAAAGTAGTCTTTGACCTCTGTGACCTTTATATCAATCCACTGAAGGGCACCAAAAAAAAAGACAAACAAAAGTAAGAATATCCACCCCTGGAGAGGAGGAGACGGGTGAGAGCAGATGCTCTGAGTCACAGAAGCTGAACTTTTGTCCTTCTGGCTGAAGGACGGCAGCTTTACTGAGGAGCTGCTGGAAAACATCTCGCTCCAGGCATTGGTTAGAACAGGAAGTCGTTCAGTCTGCAGGATCTTCCTTCACAGTCGTGGTTTTGGTTTAGATGGTGACTTTTTACAGCTGAATGTAATCAAACGTGTACTTTTTTATCCATCCATCCATTTTCTGTACCCGCTTATCCACGCAGGGTCGCAGGGGGCTGGTGCCCATCTCCAGCTGTCTCCGGGCAAACAGGAGGGGGACACCCTGGACAGGTCTCCAGGACAAACAACCAAACACACACACACACACACTCACGACTAAGGACAATTATAGAGATGTCATGTACATTTTTATGTCTGGGCTAAAATAAATTTGGACTAAAAGCCAGAATGTGGGCATTTTATATAGAAATAAAAGTTATTTGATGTTGAGACTTTTTCTGCTGCTGAGCCTGAAAACGTCCTGAGATTTGGTCCAAATCAGCTCCAGTCCATGTAAGATGTTACATTATACCCTAACCCTGACCATAACACTAATAATAATAATAATAATAATAATAATAATAAGAAGAAGAAGAAGAAGAAGAAGAAGAAGAAGAAGAAGAAGAATAGCAGCATCAACAATAAAAATAATGATGATCATAATAATAATAACAATAATACCAATAACAACAATATTAATAATACACATTTATTCTGACGTATTGAGTCTGACGTCTAGTCTGCGGCGTACGTACCAAACCCCACCACAGCGCATCGGCGTACGTGTCGAAATCCTGCGACTGCGGCTGCACCGTCGGGTTGTCGTGGTCAGGTGAGTTGACGGAGACGTCGTCTTTCTCCACCAGATAAACCAGGAAGGACGCCAGGATCAGAGACAGGAAGCCGATGTACCAGGCAGTGATCAGTTCCTGCAGAGAACCACGACGTGTCTTTTTTTTTTCTACTTTAGTTTTGCGTGATTTTCCCCTCGACTGCAACTTTGCTTTTAAAGATTAAAGATTTATTTTTTTAAATAAAACGTGAGCAATATGGAAAACCAAGTTGCTTCTAATTGATAAACATTAAGAAAAATAATCTAAACAGCAGAGATCAGCTGCAGCTTAGAGTTTCTGGTTTGGTATGATTTCTATCCACTCTGTGTATAAAACAGATGAATGAAAGTCTTGTTTGATCCAGATCACTCTAATGGGCCATTCCCATCTGTACCGGGTCGGCCCGGGCCGGGTAGCGTAGGTTGTTTACATATCTGGGTGGCCTGGTATTTTTCCGGGCCAACCAAGGCTCATTCTCAGCCCTCTTCTCGAGGGGTCTGCTTCAGGCTACCAGGGCCAACACACCCACTGCTGAGAGCAAATTCACACCTTCCATTAGAGCAAGCCTCTGATTGGTGGGTAGAATCAGCCCACATGGGCTTAAGGCAAGGATGTGTGGAATCAACCGGGCCGGGCTGGGGCCGACTGGGGCTACCCGGCCCGTGCCGAACCCGGTACAGATGGGAATGGCCCATAACTGAAATCATTCTGTGTGGGAGGTGGGCCCAGTCTGGGCCCGGTTCTGGTCCGGTCCTACCTTACTGTGTGCGTAGATGGCAGACCCAAGCAGCTTCCAGGTGCCTCCCCTCCGGTCCATACGCAGCATCCTCAGGATCTGCAGGAAACGCAGGCTGCGGAGTGACGTGGCCAACACATTACCTTGGTTACGCACCGCCACCACCGGCACCGAGGCAATCAGCACGAAGATGTCTGAGGATGAAACAGAGCATTCTTTTATTAAACATTTAATGAGTCTGACCCTAAACCAGGAGGAAGTGAAGCATTGTTCAAGCAGGGCTGAAGAACTTCAAACACCGTTAAAAAGATTTGGCCTTTGATGCTTGAAGAGATGCAGAGGGACCCGGTAAATCTTCTCTACAAGAACTTTAAACAAGGGATGGAAATTCTGAAGGGATTAGGAAAGTTTCTAAAGCAGCTTCACCTTCGTCATCGTTGGCTCAGAGACACAACGTCTAAAATTGGATCAACAGAAATGTTCATACTGCCCCCAGAGTCTCATCAGGGTCACTGTGGTAACTATCCACCTGTGGATCATTTTTCTGATTCTACAGAGTTCGCAAGAATATTAAACAAATTAAACCACAAATCCATCCCAGAATCCTCCATCTGGGTCCTGTACTGGTCTAACTGGTTTGTGTTTGTTAGATAAAACTTCTAATTGGATCAGTCTCTGACAGACTTCCCATCTCACCTGGATCAGCTGTGTGTGCTATGCCTCAGGCTGCAGGGTTTTGCACAGCTCAGCAGCTCTGAGACGTCTGCTGCTTCTAAATCTGGACCAAGCCGGAACGTCTAGAGCCTCAGCGGCCGGCAGACGTCACAGAGACTGAAGGACGGCACTTTGGAAGACATTTTCTGACATTTTGTGGAAACGTATTCAGGAAAAGTTCTTGGTTTGTTGTTATCAGCTGATAAACTAGGTTTAAGTGTCAGTTTCTGGTTCTGCTGGGAGGGTTTAATAATATTCTGTCAACATGAAGCTGGAAGGAACCTGAACGCCATCACGTGTTTCTGACGTGCACACATTATCTGCTGCTCAGGATTTTGTATTTTCCCACCTAACACTTGTGTGTGTTTGATCCCACCTTCGTACCTAAAATACACAACGGTTTGCGAGCGAACTTCAGCCTCCCCCTCCATCCTTTGTAGCGACAGCAGCACCCGGCCGCCCAGATTCGCAGTGCAAACTCCGCTCCGAAGATGAAGATGGCGAAGGTTTCCTGCAGGCACAAAGGACTCATCCAGCAAATAAAACCTTCATATAGATTATTTTTTATTATTTTTGGCTTTAAATTTGTTTTAAGAATGCTAAATGTTCTTTTCCTTTTAGTAGTTAAGATTTGACCTGAGTTTCCAAAAGATAACTTGAGTGTTTTATAACCACAAGGTACAGAAAACAACCAGTTCTCTCACCAGAACCACCAGCCAGTGTGCAGAATCCTTCTCATATTCCTTGAATGTCGTCAGTATTGCCAGAATCAAACATCCCAGAACGATTAAAAACCTGCAGACAGACACGGAAACCAGCTCAGATTAAACTGCAGAAACAATTCTCTGATGTTTGTTTTCAGGACCAACAAAAAGAAGGGAATAAGAGTAAAGCTGCAGGTCCTCCAGCTGCCTCCAGAGGGCGCCACTTCTCTCTGAATTAATCTGCTGCAAAAAAAAAAACTAAGTGAAGCTTTTTAAAATATTTATGGGCTTTTTACAGGAAATAAAGAAGCCCTGACCCACATTTTATTCAGTTTTATAGTGAGGATTTGAAATGAGGCTATTTTGTTAGATTATATTCACATTCACACTTTAGCTGCAAATTAAAACCAGCATAAAAAAGTAACAATAGGCCAAATTCTCATTGTTACAAAAAATTCACATACATTTTGAAATTTGTTCTGAGTTAGATCACGGACATGAAGCAAAAGCCAGATGGGGCACGAGAAAGTAATAAATGTGTAAGTCTTGATTTACAGCCTGAACCCGACCACTTAAAATGTTAAAAAATAAAAAATAAACTAACACAAATAATGTAAAAACTAGAGGCCAACCGACATATTCATGCAATGTTGATCTAGCCTTTAAAATGTACCGTGTTTGCCGCTACTTTTTTCTCACACTTTAAACCATGCGGCTTATAATGAGGTGCGACTTTACTGAAGATTTTCCTTCACCTGCCAGGGGGCACTTTAGCAGAAGGTGAAACAGGTGGAAGTCAAAAGTGGAAATCGAAGAACGTGCTCATTTTACTTTAGCACACGCAAGCAGCCGGCACAACGAAGAATGTTTTTCAAATCCATACCCCCTCATCATGGTAACTACATGTATGAGTTCATATGATGCTGCATTTAAGTTGAAGGCCATCGATCTGGCAGTAAAGGAGGGAAACAGTGCTGCCGCACATAAGCTTGGCATGAATGAATCCATGGTTCGACGCTGGAGACGGCAGCGGGAAGAACTTATTGAAGCCAGCTTCACCCGGGGATGATGACAGCAACACGGACAGCGACACTGACATCTCCACAGAAAAGGTATGACAAAGCTTTTCTGAGGCGGTTCAACTCCGACACTGAAGAAGAGGACTTTAATGGCTTTAGTGCGCAAGAGGAAGATGAGAGCGAATGACTTTTTCTGGTGGGCAAGTGTGTTTTATTTACTAACCAGGCATGTTTTCTGTGCAGTTTTTATTTTCTAATCATCCAGGGCTTATTAATGCTGTGTCAGCGCTGTTCTTTTCTTCCAAACATGCAAATTACTGGTAATAATGCGTCAGTTCTGTTTTTATTTTATAGCCATCCAGAAATATGAATGCTATCAGTGCTGTTTTCTTTTCTAAACTTGCAGGCACGCTCACCCGTGTTTAAAATTCGTTTTGTTGAATTAAAACAACAAGGAAAAACCTCCGTGTAGCGTCTTTCTGTCTCATTATCTTATGTTATGGCCATACATGCACTGTGCGCCGGAGACCTGCATGTGGCTGCTGCACCGCGGCTTGTATTTGACTGCAGCGTGTGTGTGTAGAAAACCTTTTTTTTTTTTTGCTGGTGTGGCTTATAATGAGGTACGCTCTATAGTCCGGAAATTACGGTATTTATCAAGTGGTCATTAAACTCGTCACGTAACCTGTTTAGTATTTTTACAAATTGTCGGCCCTCAGTCGGTCCTCCCCATTGGGAGAGCGGTGGGGGTGGGGGGTGTTGCCACCCGTGGACTCGTCTCTAGGCTGAATGTGAGATCTAATATGGACTGGGACTGGTAAATTACAAGCAGGTCCAGACCGCTGCGATCGGGAGCCCTGGCCTTCCAGATCAGCTCACTCTCCACAGGTGGAGATCAGTGGGACATTAGCTACATGCTAAAGTGGTAAAACGACTCCTGCTCATTGCTCTACCGTGTTTTTCTTGCTAAAAATGCCTGGAAAAACTCTGTTAGCTACGGGTTAACATGTAGCTAATGTTCTGCAGATCACCAACTGTGGAGTACTGTCGGCCCAAGCTGGACAAGCAGCCCACTTGGCTAAGCGGCCCACCGGGACAGTGCCAGAATTCCATATAGGCCAGTCCGCCCCTGGAACCAGGATAACAGGCAGTTTTTCCCCGGAATCGTAAAAAGTTTTAAGTTTTGATCCCTAGTTTTGATGCCCAGTCCACCGACCAGAAGAAGAATCTGCAGCCGATGTCAGTTAAAAAAGTCTGATCTGCACATTCTGATTAACGTCTCTAAGAACCGGTCAAACCAGCTGTCCGTCGCTGCTACTGTGGAGTCTAGAGAGACCCTGAACGCAGGGCCAACCCCTCCCTTCCTTTCCCACACTATATATATATATATATATATATATATATATATATATATATATATAGACACACACATAGATATATATTTATATATACTATATATATGTATATATATATATATATATATATGTGTGTGTGTGTGTGTGTGTACACACACACACACACACACACACACATATATATAAATACATAATATATATTGGCCTTAATAATCGGCTTTATTTATCGGCCATCTGCAACAACATTCTTTAAAAATTGGTATCGGCCTTTAAAGAAAAAAGAAAACCCATATCGGTCAGCCTCTAGTAAAAACGGTTCAAACGGTTTAAAAAGTGAAAACAAAATAGAAAGATAACTCTTAACAAAACCAAATACACATCAAGGTTAAAGCTGTCTCAGATGTTTCTGCCAAACTTTAACCTGAATAAAAAACTAGAAGACAACAAAACAGGACGTGTGAAAGGGCTTCAGACTGTCTGATGCAATAAATAATATCATTAAGCAGCTTATTTAAATGTAGATTGTTGTTCAGTAGAGTTCGTCTCCATTTGTTTACCGTTAAGTGTTTTTTTTTTTTTATCATCACATCATTATTGTTTATGTTAGTTCATCAGTGAATGTTTATTAAACAACAGTCTTTCAGGTTCTGTTTCTGGTCCTCTAAACCCGGCTAGAAGCCTGTTGCGTCGGCCCCCACACCCACTCGGCCCTTTTCCGGCTCTGGGAGCTCTGTCAACTTTCTGAAGCTGAAAAACCGAGACAGCGTGAATTATTCACAGCTCAACAGCGAGGAGACGTTTAGACGATCTCGCTGAAAGAAATGATGGAATGTGAGTGACTCCGGGTGGTCACGCATTTCGCTATCGATCCTTAAAAGTTGTTAAATCACATCAAACTAAAAGAAATTAGAGCAATTCTCCTGAACGTTTTCCAAAGGTCAGAGACGGTCCTGACAACTCCAACACACACACGGATGCTGCTGATGGTTCTGGTCCAGTAAAATAAATAAATCTATCTGAAAAAACCACAACCAACAGTCGCCTAGAAAACACCTTTGTTTTTTCCAGGATTCCTGGATTCCTTCACAGCAGCGCACTCAGCAGAACCTGACCTGGCCGGATTTAGTGACAGATGAAAGATCAGAGTCTCAAATCCTAAAACAGAGAAATGATGCATTCGTTTAAAAAAAACAAGAATAGATCAAGTTTTCCAGTTAAATGGTTCCAGTTGGGGATCAGAACTGGTCGTAGACCCGTTTACCGGTTCTTGTGTCATGAATCCAGTTGGACTGGAACAAGAGAACAATTTGACAAGTGTCCGAACTCTGGTAGTAAACCCGCTGATCCATGTTTCAGCTGCAGGATCTACAAACCCCAGCTGGTTTCTCAGAACCAAACCAGGTTTAAATCAGTTTCAGAGAAGAGAATAAAAAGGCTCCAACTTTTACAGGGAGCACATAAACTGTGGGCAGCAGTAGCTCATGTGGTAGAGCACGTTGTCTCATGATCAGAGGGTCATGGGTTCAATTCCAGCGTTCCGCCAGGGGTATTCTACTGTTGTGTCCTTGGGCAAGACACTTCACCCAACTTGCCTGTGTTGGTGGTGGTCAGAGGGGCCGATGGTGCCAAATGGCAGCCTCGCCTCTGTCAGACCGCCCCAGGGCGGCTGTGGCTACAAGTAGCTTACCATCACTAGCAGTGTGTGAATGTGAGAGTGTGTGAAAGCGTCTTTGAGTGTCCTAAAAAGCGCTATATGTATAAGTTCAATGTATTATTATTATTATTATTATAAAACAAACAATGATTTTTAAAGCCTTTAGGTCTAGAGCTCAAAGATCAGATGATCTCTATGAAAATGTAGATTTTATTACTGACATAGGGTGTTTTTTTTAGCTCATGATGGTAATTAAATAACTAAACATGCAGTTTGGATAATAAATATGATCCTGGGGTGATGTTCCCACTCCAGCTTTGTCACAATTAGTAAAACTGGCACTAACTGGGAAGTTCGCTGGCTGTTGCTCTGCAGCGCTTCATTACCTGCCTGTTGGACGACTAAATGAAGCGCAGTGGCATCCAGTCTGTGTTGGGATTGAACATCCGGGGCTTACTGGGAGAACAGAAGCACTGGTACACCGTTTTCCCTGTGAGGTGAAGAGAAACCGGCTGTTTGGTTCAGAGGCTTCACCTGAAGCCCCAGGAGGAACCAGCCAGGTGAACAAAGCTTTTATCAGAACAGGAGATGCAGTCAAACAGAAACGACTCAGAGATGGCCACAGCTTTGGTGCAAACAGACGTCAAATCCTCTGGAACCACCAGATTCAGCTAAAGCTGGTGAAGGATGGATTTATAGTGGTTTTGGTTCATTTGCGGACATTGTTGCCTCATCTACCGCAACGCTGAGTTATAGCTCAACACAGACACGACTGACTTACAGCTGTTTGTGTTTGCCAATGCTAATCAGCTTAGGTGGCCATCTTGAATTGGACTGACTCCAAAATAGACATTTTTATGGTAAAAGTCTGTCGGGTGGCTCACGCTGATAAACGTGGAACTCAACAGTTAGCTAACAACTTTGACGTAACAACGATAAACCATTTTAAAGCTTTAACCTTCCAGCAGGGGCCGCTAACGTGTTTATAACTCTGCTTCTGAGGCAACTAATTCTTCATTCAGCCCCAGATGAAACAAATAAAAATAGAACTAATCTTTAGGGA